ACTTTATATTTTAGAGTCTATAAAACATATCGAAATGTAAAGTAGTTACCCTTTATTATCCTTGTTTACTTAGATGTATTTTTCTTAACGAATATACGATTAGTACTATTTTTTTTCAATTTGCAAATTGTAATGTGATTCAGCACATGCAGCGTGTAAGAAGATCTTGTGCACTTTCGTCGTGATGGTGTAGATGAAGGTTATTTTCCCATTCTGCTTCTCGTCGCAATCGTGGTGAATCACTTCGGAGTCTGGCTACTACTGTTATAATCATCCCACAACCATGTGCATATTTAACCTTAAAAGTGAACATTGTAAAGCCATTGTTTTTTAACCACAAGTAAAGGCAAATACTTTTACATTTAGAGAATACAGAGATGAGGTACCGAATGCGGATTTAATATCATCTGGAATCGATTGATGGGCAACTTAAGGGAAAAGTTAGCAATGGTTGTCGTGGGGTTTTAACGACTTCTAATGGACTGATTTTCATTTGATGATCTCTTATTACGAACTGTGTTTAATTCACTTCCAGTTGTCAAAGCACGTTATTTGTTGTTACTTACCTGCTTCGAAATTCTACCTTGCAGTCCTTTTCTATGGAAGCAAAACTATGGTGTTTTACTATACTTTGTATTCCATTTAAACCTGTCTCTGTATCACCTTTCCTTTGTTTTTAATTTTTAGTGCAGATGCTATTTTAATGATTCATCCAGTTTTTCTTCATTTCGTTCACTTATTAAGAACCCTGAATTACTTTTTTTTCGTCTACTTCGATAAGACCAGTTTCATATGCTATTCCGCAATTACTGCTAGTTGGGCCCAATTTGGACGAAAAGTAGATGAAATTTGATATCAACTTTTGCATAAAAATCTGTTTGTTTGTGGGTAAATATTCCTTTATCATCTCTGATTTTCTCCTTGTATCCTTACTACTCGAGTCGTCAATCGGGCATTTGCTGTACCCATTCACACAAATCCCCGTTTACTAATTACTTCCTTACACCAAGTCCACATGCATTTCTAGCCCAAATGTGCATGCGTATGTTGAATGACGTCATCGCGGGTGCTACATTTGTGTGCTGCTGCTGCGTCGACTTTGCCCAGTTGACATTTATACGCAGTGTGCGGTTATTGCTAAGAGTGGGGGGGGGGGGGGGGGGGCGGTTGGCCAAATTAGTCATCATCTACCCTTCCTCCTATCGATTTGTGGTTCAGCAAAGTCGGGCGGAAATGCCTTGACGCATCTATATTTATATATATACATGAACATGCTCCAATTGTTAGCTTCCGTGCTTGAATACATGCCATTTCCAGGAATCGGTATTTAATTTATGATTGGAAGATCATCGGTTGTTTTTTTTTATCACCAATCTTCGTTTCTCGACAGCCATTTTATTGCAAAGTATCTTAGCAATTTAAATTAGCATTGCGCGTAGATTGAGAAAACATTTGCAGTAAAGAATTAGGTATTTTCATTAGCGATTTGAATCGGGTAAGAATTTAATTATTATAGTCTTACTGTAACCTATTTTATTCCAACACATCGGCAATGTTATTTTTTTCGGATTCTTGTTCGAGGCAGCCTTAACTTTGAACTAAGTAAAGGCAATTGGGTAACTGTGTACTCTGAATAGAAAATTTAGAAAATGTATTTTATTAAATATATTATTGTATGCTTTTAAAGGGAATCTTAAAGCTGTCGAATAAATATTGGATGCCAACGACTCTTATTACGAATTCGGGTATTGTGTTGCCTTATCGAGTTAGATACTGAGGTATATTAACTATGGATTGACAAGTTCGCATTTAAAATTTGACGTTTTGGATTTTTCGGTTTACTTTTTCATTATTTTTTCCTGAATAATGAGTGCTTTTATTTTTGGTTTATTAGCCAGATGCAGCGGATAAGTCGGCTGGCTATCCACTAATGAGCCACTTCCGACCTTCCCGCTTTTACTTTAACTTTACTAAAATTCCATATCGATAAGATTTTGTTTTCATTTCTCGATGCAAATTATCATTAATTTCGATTTAAAAATGAAGCACGGTTCAATAATGGTTCTTTTCACGGAAGAACCTCAGATGTACAAAGAAATGGCTATCCCCCGGTTTGCTTTAATGATTTTCTCCTTCTACGCAATCAAATTCATCGTCTTTTTGGAAATTACTCGTTTCCCTGATTGACATAACCTAACCCATTATTAAGGGGCCTTCTGTAAAGTAGCGATAAATAGTAATCGGGTAATTTCTTCAGATTCGTGTTTAGCGTGTTCTCCTCAAACACCTGAGGGAAATAATTGAATCTTTGTGGGTTCATTAATGATCGTTAAAGTTAGTAATTGTATTAGTCTCTGAGCTCGCTCCAATCTCATTTATTAAATCATCATTTGGTAATGGTGGTTGTTGCCAGCAGTAATGTTACCCCCAACTAGGATATTATTGCGCCAAGAGGGTGGACCCACTTTCACTCCTGTTTCTACGTTGGTAGGAGGTGAGAATTTGCTATTCTTTCGTGATTTCCATATTTTAGGCGACCTTGGAATCCTTCTCCCACCAGTATTCGGTACGATTCAGTTAACAGTGGCAGCTGGAGCCAGCACAACAGCAAACTTTTCGACAAAAAGTCCAACCGTCGGTCATTAAGTTCTTCAGAATCGCCTTCCAGAAGAGGACGTAAACAGAGGCGACGCTCTTCTTCCCGTCATTCAATAGAAATACGAAACAGACGTAAAGCGTCTCCTCCTCCTTCGGTACGTGTATACTTGTACTCTTTTTGTCATCGACATGGCTGGAAACTTGACCATTTTACATAAATGAAGCGCGTATGGGCGCAAGTATTTTCTACTTTTTGTTCTCTTCAACATGTTATCATTTAATGCTCATATTTGAGGGCAATTTAAAAAGGAAGTTTCAATTTTTATTATGAAATTTACTGGATCGGCTGAAAGTTAAAAGTCAAGATTCCGATTTCCGAAAATATACGTGCGCATTAATACCCTTTTCCTTAATATTTCATCGATTGAGTTTTTTGGTTTGAAGAGGTGGGGGGGGGGGGGGGGGGGGGGGGGGGGGAGGGAATCAAGGCTCTGTTGGAGCAGATTTGTGTGGGCGATCGGGTGGACAGTGCCAAACTATATTGTTTTTTGTGGTTTCCATTTCATATTCATTATGGGATGGTAGTGCCATTGCCATAAATGCCATATCTTGATTTGTCTGAACTAAATTTGGCAATCTTTAAATTCTTTTCAATGTCTCTTAGATTCTATCCACCTTAAATCCCTTTGTCGCTCAAAATGTGCGTGTGCGCGTGCGCGCGCGCGCGTTTATTCTCAGCTATACCCAGCATTCGCTTTCTACGCAGTCAGGAAGGTCTATTTTAATTATGATGGTGTTTTTCTATCCCATCGTCGTAATTGCAAAAGTAGCTGATTTGAATGCCATTAAGGGAATGAATTTTCATAAAAAATCACAACTTTAAACTTTGTCTGCTTCAAGAAAAGAATATTCCAGCACAGCAAGTACACTGTAAAACGATCCTGTATTCCGTGCAAAGTAACTCATTTTCCTTCTGAAATTCTAGTTAAAGCTTGTTTAATTACTTACGTCACACTTTTCAAGAAGTTGGACTACTGTCAGTACATAGCAATTTTCTTAACATTTATCAATGTTGTGCTTTTCTTTATGTTTGCTTAAGCCCTCCCCATTCATGTTAAGGCTGCTTTCTGGACGGTAAACATGATGCACCTTGGGGTTTTTTTCAACCAATTATAAAGTGATGTGATATTTTAGTCTACTAAACGGCGGAGGCTTCCCGCAGCTTACTCGTCAAAAAATCACACTCGTGGTCTTATGCCACCTTCACAGCACGTTTCCAGTTCAGCATCTTCCTCCAGAACCGTTTCTACAATCTCAACGTCCTCATCACTTAACGTAGAACTTGCTGTTGCCTCGTCTAAGGCTTCCAACAAACCAAAGAAGACCACACTTCAGAGAAGACGTCGGGGATCTTCTTCCATTTCCTCCCTCTCCTCTTCCTTCTCCACATCGCGCTCTTCTCCCTCCTGTTCCTCTTCTTTTCGAATGACCGCCAATAACAACACTGCCCCTCGAAAGAGCTCACGGAGTCTCCGACGTCCTAGGTAATAATCTCTCTTGAAGAAAATTTGAAATTTATCCTTTGGGTTTCTTTCAAACCTAAGCATGCCATCTTCGTCGATTGATATCAGGACCGCTGTACTTTCCCCTTTTTACTTAGAAGAAGAGGAAGAAGAAGAAACAAGCCTTAGCACTTTGTGGTTTGATTGCTTAACTTTCTTTCGAGTCTTGATTCATGCATTGTTGGCTCTTACAAAGCTTCTATTGGAACTATTGCCTATGTGTTCTATATGGATATCAGTTGTCTGTTGAATATTTATGATGAACTTTTCAGTTACTGTAAATTTATAGATTTTGTTATTTCTTTTGTAGGGGTAATCATCAAGACGGAGATGGTTATTGCTCCTATCATTATCGGGATAAAGCTTTGAGAAACACGAAAAAGTTAGATTCCGGTCGTAAGCTTCCTGTTTCTACAACCGAAATTCGTCCTCGATCAAAAGTCAGAATTTTATCAGCCTCTGCAAATTCCAATAACTACCATACGAGAAGAAGATTAAGTGGTCGTGATGATGTAATTAGACTCCTTATCATTAGTATTTTCATATATTTTCTAGATTTCAGTTTGAGAATTAATTGTTCTTTAGATGGAGGCCATGCCGTCTAGTATGACTATCCGTCGAAAGGGCACGCCGCTGTCACAGAGGCAGAAGGAATCGTTTAATCACCAAACACCATTGTCACCAAACTCAAACTCAAAAAGGTATCGTCGGAATGCAAGCCCTACTGCATCGCCATCTTCGGTTAAATCTGCTCACAAATCATCCAGGGTAGACACCAAGCAGAAGAAACAAAAATTCTATAAGTCAGCTACGAAGTAAGTGACTTTCTTAATGGACGATTTTCTGCTAATACCCTGAGTGCGATACCGATATAGGTTTTGGATTTGAGTTGGTCAAATACGCCAACAATGACGTCTTTAATAGTGATTTCAAAACTACTATTGTTGAGACTCGTTCAAGGTTCACGAAAATACAAATTCCAAGTATTCAAAGGATTTGAAATAAGACCAGATTTACTCATTCAGTAGACATTTCGGTTTTTCAATTCATCTTAGACGAACTCAACTTAGGCTGCACAAAGTTGCATAGGACCATTTATCTTCTCAAACATTTTTTGATGAAAAAAACTTGAATCTATCAAATGGCGCACATCGAAACTCCTGACTATTTAGAGTTTGCACCGTCCATTCATTAAATTATGTGCTTCGAGTCCAAAAATTTAGCCAAGTAACTCCTTGATATCTTGACGCTTCCCTCTGTTTCTGTTAATCCCCTTCCTTTATTGTGTTTCTCTTCCCATCATTCGATGTTACTGGTGTCCCCCGAGTTTGAGGATGTGAAATAGTTTCTGTGCTACTGTGAATAATATTACAAATCAGCTAGCAATAACGCCTCAAGTCAATGACAAATATTTGGTTTGAATTAGATGAAAGGGGATCGTGCTTCTTTAGAAGGGAGGGGGAGGAGGATGAGTGGTTGTGGTTTGTGGTTTCAGTGTCAACCCACTTTTATGTTACTTTGTCTTGTTTGAATTGAATTTATCAGTTTGCCCCTTTTTGTAGCAGGAAACAGAGAGAAAACAGCGGCAATCGTAGAAATTGTAGGCGAAATTCATCCCATTCCTCATACTCGACAGACTCTGTTGTTATCATCAATAGCTCTGATACCTCTGATAAAGGATCTGCTTCACAATCGCCTCCCTATGAAAATGCTGTGAAACGGTGTCAAAAAGTAAGGCCCACTGAAATATCTTAACCTTCAATTTACTTTTCTCAATTATTTGTGTTCATTTCGTTCCTATGCGTGTTGAAAGAAACGATTGTCTCTGAAATTGGTCTAAGTCCACGTCTATGCTTTATTACTTTATCTGATATGTTACTTACGTATTATTTTATCCAGAATCGTGCCATTCTCAACGTCCGACAATTGTGTCAATCAAATTAAATTTTCCTAAATATGATTAAACTCTCGTTTTTTGCTTTCACTCACTCATTCGCATCATTACGTCTGTGGCGTTAGCTCTAGAACTTTGAAAACGTCATTTGTGCAATATATGAGTGACTTTCGGCTACTAATTCCTGGCCTAATTGTCTGTAATTATAAGTAAGACCCTAACGACCACTATGAGCAAATAAGAAGGTATCTAAGTCGACACGGAATTTTGAACTCTTACATAAATCATTCTATTATTTATTTAATGCCTATAGTTTATCTATTTAAATGGATAGCTCAACTGTTGCGAATCTAAATGGCAGTTATTTTGTTGTTCTGCCGTAAGTGAATATCGATTGGTAAATTTCGTTCCGTAAAGGGGTTTTTAAGCTATTACATTTACGGTAAGTGTTGATGATGCATCTGGGTTTGGGCAACTGGCAGAAGAGGAGGTGAACCGGTATAGCGTGTCTCCTGAATCCCGTCGGTTCATCCTTGCTGCTGTGTAGACACGCACACTCCGATCAATAAGCAGAACGCAGTTCATCAATTGGACAGACAGCAGTCGCATTTGCCCATTTTGCACCCACGTTCGCACAGCAGAATATTGCTGCTACAGCGCGGGTCAGCAACAGCAGCAGCCTGCATGTGTGTCGATTTCTAGTGTCGTCTATTCACTCCCTTACACTACACTGGGTGTGTGTGCGCGTGCCTCTCTCGCAGGTTTAAACAAAACGGCGTCTCCTCTTTTGTTGCTCTTGCCTTGCTGCCACCACACAACTGGGTCAAAAAGCCAGTTCTCCAAGCCCACAAGGGCTCCGTAAACGGGCCTCTGCCAGTAATCTCCACAACCACAACTCACTCACCACCTCTTGGTCTCCTGTCTGTTCTTCCACCGGTGTCGGCTCCTCTTCGGTACTTCCGTATCGATCCATTCCCACTCCTAGGAGGGTTTTTACGGCCAACCGTCACTCCTCTGGCAATTGGGAATCCGCTTCTTCCTCCTCTCCACCGCCACCATCAGCGCAACCGCCATCTAGGCGTCTTTCGACAATTGTAGCGGTCTGTGTTGAGTGTCAGATTCCCCGTCTAGCTCTCGCACACAATTTTCCTGGGAAATCCTTATCTTCCTCATTTCCTCTTGTTTCTCGTGTTACTCCTCCTCATTTATCAACCGCGAAAACTTTTGCTGTTTCCATCAACTCGCATTCCTTGGAAGTATTTTCTCCCCATATCTCCGAAGAACAGCATTCATTTTCTTCATCTCCGTCTTCCTTTTCTTCTAGTAGTTCACCTGTTTCTTCTCAGATTGACGAGGTAGATTTACTTGAAGAGATTGATTTTCCACAAGTGAAAGAAGGAGAAGTAATAATTGCTGCCGCTGGTCCTGCCTCTGTTCCTTTACCATTTCCTCCACCTTCCAGATTTGAATGTTTAGAGATGTGTGCGTCTAGGCCCCCTCCTAGACCGCAGACAAGTCTTGTTGGACCTCACCGAGGTTCTGTCGCCTCTCGTGAGTCTTCTTACTCTCCTCCTGCGGATAGAAATGGAGGTGGCGGCAGTCGAACACAACAGCACGCCCACAATAATGGAACGTCAATAGCAGATATGGAGAACTCTGTCCTCTTTCGTAAACTCGAAGCCGCTGTTGCGAAAGTGGTTACTGAGCAACAAGATCATGAAAGAAGCCTACTTCTTCTTGCTGGCGGAAACTCCAATCCGAATAACGCCTTAGGAAATCTTATCAATATGCTTTCCAATGTCGGTTCAGAGTATCAACTCCTTCGACTGCAATTGGTTGGGGAGAAGGAGAAACGAGCTTTAGTTGAAGCTGCTCGAGAACGAATTGTAACGAGCGAGGTTGGAATTCAGACTGAACCCTTTCAATTGCCTCCCGAGGGTGTTTGCCCACTGTGCCAACAAAGGAGTGGAAAGAACTTTTTTTCTTCGGTGGGTCTTCGAGTTGCTGTTCAACAATTTCTTCCACCTATGGTGCCGCTTTCTCGCGGTGTTCCACTTCGTAGAATGCGCTCTGGCCCAACACAGCTTCAACATCAGAATTCTACTGGTAGTCCTCAACAACGCTTCCTATGGCCGGCTAGTGGAGATATTGTGGATATAGTAGAGATGCTAGCTGAACCTCCCTATCCCATTCACACACCCCTCGTCATCCAGACAACTCCCATTGAAGTCATTTCTGATGATCTTTGTGAACGACCCTGCATTTCCACTGTTGCTGTACATGGACCTTTTCCGAATGATACGAAGGGTAGTGTATTCGTTTCCTCTTACCCTCCTCCATCTCCAGTCAAAGTACAACCGGTGGTTTTGGAAACTCCTAAAATTAAGCCAATTCCACAGATAGTAAAGACGATCGAAGAACAGATGCCTCAACCGCCCCAACCTTCTCAAGGTGCAGAAATCGAGTCAGAGGAAGAGAGTGGTGAAGAGGAAGAGGAACAATCAGAAGAAGACTCAGAGGTGTCAGACGTGGAAATCTCGAGGAAACTTCGCCGACAGCTTCGGCGCACACAGAAGACACAGGAGATCAATGCGACAATCGTACAGATGGCCCTCAATCAGCAAAAGAAAGAGGAGGAGAGGGCTGCTCAGGCAACAGCAGCTACTGTCACTCAAGCGGCAGAGGCACAACAATCGAAGGCTGCATTAAGAGGGGAGGAAAGTAATCAAACGGAGGGTTCTTCACGAGTGGCTGAAGCTAGGCAACGAGCCAAAAAATTCATTGAGCAGCGGAAGTTGAGTATGCAGCAACAGCAGCAACAGAATCAGCAGGATGTAGAATGTTATGATGGATCTAGTCAGGTAGATAAGGGCACCTTAATATTGAACGCTTTTGGTCCGACTTGATGATACCCATATAAACATCCTTATTTTGAGATGACTATCGACCTCTATTTTTAGCCCTTCGAGGACGATATGGGCTCGAGAATTCCTCCTATGGATGACGTGGATGGTCATTTGATCTACAGTCCTCATGACTACATCCTTGATAGATGTGAGTTCCTCTTACTTGCTTCCTATTTTAGGGTCCAGTTTATTTATTTCGGAATCGTTTTAATCCACTCGTAAAAATAAACATAATTGCAATTTCCTTTAAAAATTATAAACATGTCTGAATTCTTTTTCTAATTCTTAATAGCTTTATAGCTTCCTTGGGTTCCCAACTAAACTAGTAAAATCACATATTTGAATTTTATGCATTTTCCAAATTTTTAACTTCCTTATATTTGCTACAAATATTGTAATAGGCTTGTTCAAAATATTTTGGATAATTTATTTCATAAGAATTCTAAGATGGTGTGCCCATTTATTATGCCAATCCGTACGCCTCTTTTATCTTATAATTAAATAAATTATACTAATTGATATTTCTACGAATATATCACCTGATTAAGTTATATTTCCTTTCTTCATACGTTTTCTATTCGAGTATTTTTTTTAATTTCCCAGAGTACTGAAGTCAAACTATTCACTTCCTTCCCCTCTTAATTTCAGATGAGATCCTCAAGACTTTGGGTGAAGGAACCTTCGGTAAGGTAGTCGAATGCATCGATCACCATAGGTAAGTTCTTCCCTCGCGGTCACAAAATCACACCTCGCGGTCATCTCTTTCCCCACCTTATTGTAATTTGTTGGATAGTTTAACGTTCCGACAGTCATATTAGAAACACGTTTTTCTGATTATGTGCAGGTTAAATACGTTTGACCTGTTATGATTAAACGATCATAGGTAGTGCTAATCATGTCTGGAATATTTCAGAGGGAATAGGAGCAGTAGAGTTAAGTGGAGATTGAGAGGTGATCTGCTTCTAGATACTTTTTATCAATGTATATCTACTTGCCATTTTTCCATTCGAATTATGTTTGAGAATTAAGATTGGTTGTCAGTGCGCGTACTGATTCGACTAACTATTAAATTCGATCCTAGTAAATCCCTGGTTAGAGGAAATTTATTTTCAATTCGATGCAATTACTCTGAATCTCGTGGACTTCTATTACTTGTTGGCTCTTTTTCGAAGTTACTTGGTATAGCGATTGTTAACTAATGTCGGGGCTATGCCTACATGACTGGTAACAAATGTTAATCGTCCTTTCGTCTATCTTTGTGGATTATAATTCAAACTTATGACTCATAGTAGGTTGTTGAAATCAAGGTGAACAACTAATAGCAAACAACCATGGTCCAAGGCATCTAAAAACTAAAGTCGATACTATAACGCGTAGATTATTTAACCGTGGTTGAAAATCGAGATAGTGAGAGTGCCAGAGAATGACAATGACAAAGCAGAATTGGAAAAGGTTAAAAGAACGTGGAAAGATCGTAAAGACCGTCGTGTTATCGCCTTGTGTACTGACTTAGGCACTCAAAGTGTGCTCAGAAACACTGAACGAAAGAGTAAAAAACCCTGGGCCTTGTTATGCAACTGCGATGGTTGAAAATAGCTCAAGCAAACTTGAAATCTCAAAATTTTTCATCACTGGTTAAAAATAGTATTTTTAAGAAACGTTAAGCGACAAACCTTCGAGCTAGACTATTTTAGGCAGAAATTTTCCTCTTAAATCTGAATTGCATACCCACTTTAGTAGTTGTAAGTATTGCCACCTGATAGCTTCTTTAGTTTTTCTCTTTTAATCGAATTACTTTTCAGTATTGCTGTTCCGCTGTCACTTGAATGCATGTGACATCTCCATCTGTTTTCATTTTCAGCTATTTTCTTCCGCATCCCGTTTTGTTCTCTAGCACTTCTTCCTCCCCAAAATTGTTCTGATATCTCAACAATGTCCGGAGAAATTTTTTGGCCTAATGCTCATTTTCCCCCTATTTTAGTGACTCCCGAATCGCTCTGAAAATTATCAAAAATGTCGACAAGTATAGAGAAGCTGCCATGTTGGAAATTAACGTCCTCAACTTCCTTCGTGAACGGGACCCCAATGACGAGTAGTGCGTGACACCTATATATGTCCCCTCCACTAGTATATTAATCAATACGTTGCATTGTGTATTATCTCAATTGCTTTCTATTGCTCTTTTAGTCTCTGTGTCAGGTTGTTAGATTGGTTTGACTACTTTGGACATATATGTCTTGCCTTCGATATTCTTGGTCTTTCAGTATTCGACTTTCTGGTGAGTGGATGCTACTCACCACCACTTAATTTCCCATACAGGTGCAGTAATACTTATTATTTGGCTTTGCAGAAGGAAAATAACTACGTCGGCTACCCGATCGAACACGTGCGCCATATTAGCTATCAACTGTGCCATGCAGTTCGTTTCATGCATGATAACCAGTTGACTCATACAGACCTCAAACCTGAAAACATCCTTTTCAACCGATCCGATTATATTTCTGTTCACAATAGAAAGAAACGTCGATATGATCGAATCGTTAAGTGCTCAGACGTCCGACTCATTGATTTTGGATCGGCGACATTTGATTATGACCATCATTCAACGATAGTCTCTACACGTCATTATCGTGCACCAGAGGTCATTTTGGGTATGTCTATTCGTGATGTACATATTTGAATGCTCATTGGTCTCTTCATCTGTTTATTCGGTTGAAAAATTTCTTTTAGAGCTCGGTTGGTCTCAGCCCTGTGATGTCTGGTCAATTGGATGCATCATCTTTGAGCTCTATACCGGTTACACTCTCTTCCAGGTATATTTTCTCTACCAATCAACATTTTTTACTCTCCACTGATTCGATTTCATCTCCTTTCCAATATTTAAAGCTGAGTTTCTTTTTTTTGGTAATGGTAGTTATCATTATGAATATTTGTTTATTTGTTGTTTGAATAGACCCACGATAACCGCGAGCACCTGGCCATGATGGAGCGAACTCTCGGCCACATTCCCTACCGAATGACACGCAAATCTCGGTATGCTTTCATACTCCTGCCATTTTTATTTATCTACCTCTCAGTGAGGAAATTACAATTTGGCAGTCATGACATCTAGAGTGGAAATATTGTTGACCACATAAAAAAGTTTGTGTTATATTTCGAAGTAATATTGGATCGGATTCATAGGAGTGGTAAACGGTGGCTTGAAAGTGCTTTCCTTAAAAGCCATCTTATAATTGATGTCGGTCCAGGCAAATGGATTCCCAATTCGCGTTTTTAGTGAGGCAGACACTTATCTCTGTCAGACTGTTGGCAGAGATTATGAATTCTCGAGTCGCAGCACAATCCATTTCAAATATGCTCACTTCTAATATTTAACATAGTAATCGAAATACGCGTAATACTTTGATGCGAGCAATTGCTTTATTTGAAAATGGATGGTTGGTTTGATGCAATGAAAATATGTGGCATTTCCTTATGGTTTTCGTGTTCACGGTAGAACGGGTTTCTTCTATCACGGCCGATTGGATTGGGACTTTTACAGTCCGGAGGGTCGCTATGTACGCGAAAATTGCCGGCCCCTCCTTGTGAGTTTGAACGACTCCTAACTCTCCTGTCACCCTAGCTCGCTCGCTCACTGATGGTTTTGCATGAGTGTCTGTAATTTCTTATAGCATGTTGTTTGTCTTTTCTTTGTTGCATGCTGCTCACCCAGACGAGCGAATTACTTCGATCCTCGCATGGGCACTGTCCAAAACCTCACCGCTCACACACTTAAAAAGCTTGCCCACTCTAAACCCCTTCAGGTATGTACATGTCTACTGATCAGATTTAAGTAATACGAATTTTTGCATGTAGTATTGGGATTTAACAATTGCTGCTTTAATAAATGTTGCCTGTTTTTAGCGGTATTGCAAGGAAGAGAGTCAGGATACCCTGGACATGTTTGATCTTATTTCAAAGATGTTAGAGTACGATCCAGCGGATCGTATTTGTTTGGCAGCTGCGATGACCCACCCCTTCTTTTTGCGTATTCCTTCGAATCAACGTCTGAACTACCGGTATCATCCGCCTCATTTGCCCCAGCCGCATCAAAAACAATCCAGTGAGGGCAGTGGTGAACCAAATGGCAACGATGATAGCTCTTCACACCGGAAATCTTCCACGTCTGCTGGCGTTCTTCGATGAACGGGAAATTTCTCGAGTATCGTTCTCTCGGAAATTAAGCCCTCTCTGCTTCTTTTGTAATGTGCTCACTATGATTACTCCTAAATGTAACCTAATCTTTCACCCTTTCCCTACAGCCCCACGTTTAACGTTGTCCCCCATTTCAATGAAGATGACAAACAGAAATCGTCCCCACCTCCTTCTGAGAAAGTTGTATTTGTGATGCCATTGATTCAAAACAAGCTCTTTTCCATGTGAAATTTGTTTTTTTTAAAAGGGGATTAATCGCATCGAAAATATAAAATAAGGAAGATAATGTATGTACACCAGATTGGTGTTGATAGTCGAGTTGAATAATTCTAAAATGTGACAGGTCTTGAAATAATTGAATTCTTACTTCAACGGAATAGTTACAGCTGTCGGAGTGACAGCAACTCTGGCAAATCCAATCGCGCTGTCCATTAGGATTGCACATATTATGAAAGAAATCTTTTTGTCTTTCGCAGTCCATTTTGGTAGTGCAGCCCTTCGATACAAAGGGCCTCCGTTCAGAAAGTACAGTCCAGTGATTCGCGGCTGTTGACTAAGTCTTACTACTTTTGGAGTCTTACTTGTGTAATGGACGAAAGATATACATGCATCCTGTGTTACCCGGCAAGTTCGCTTGACTGTGATACAGTCGCCTCTGTTACTTTCAACGTTGACACATTCATAACACTCAAGAGCTGTGAATTAATTTCAATGTTATTAAGTACCTATACATTCCTTGGATAAGTAAATCACAAGTAATAATAGAAGCCACATTCTCCTAAAGTGCGGTATTTATCCCTTTAGTATTTGAAAAGACTAAAACAAATAAAGGCCATAAAAATTTCTCTGGTGTTGTTTTAAACTTTCACTGTATTTTACATGTATTTTCAGAATTATATTTCTATATCTATTATAATGTGTGGCAATAAATTCTTTTTAAATGAATGTCCTTGTTTAAACTTTTTCCAAATATCTAACCAATTTAAAATATAAATGAAAAGGTCAGAAGGGTTTTGAATTAATTCATGAAAGAAGAAATATAGATGATTTATTCCCTCATAGAGGTTGAAATGAAGTTAAAGGAATAATAACTTCTTAGGTAATTTATAAGACTATCTAGTTTTGTATTACTTCGTTTCCTCCATATGACATATTTGCTATTTCCCCAGTCTTTTCTTTTACTTCCACGTAATTTTCATCAATTAAATTATTTCCGTTGTTTGAATCTTGGTCGATGTAAGGAATATCACTATCTGCACCTTGCGAACTGGGGCCTTTAGATCGTCGTGAGAATACTTCTGAATCAGTGCAATCTGCGTCCTTGTCCTTGCTGCAATCTACAAAATTTTGATGACATGTAAATTATTGTTATTTTTATAGTTCAGATAAATTCGGAGGGCTAAAAAGACCCACTCTGGATACAATTTATTCATGATAATATTAAAATTAAATTCTGTCGAAATTAAGAATTTTAGCATAGCGTTTTAATTTATTTGATATTGTTACATTATCTAAACATGTATTAGTATGCTTAGTATTACTTACTTTCAATTAATATATAATCATTTACGATGGCTCTGACATCATCAGCACAAGTGTTGAATTCAGATTCTTCCATTCCTTCTTTAACGAACCAGTGAACGAAGGCCCTTTTCTTGAAAAGTGTTGTGTACTTGTTTAAGACAGACTTGAGAGGTTCGACGACAATTGTTGAATTATAAACGGCAGTAACTTGACGACGTGTGGTTCCCATTTGACTCGCTCTTATCTTAGCTGGAGGTATTTCCACAACTCCAACCTTGAAACCAGTGGGACACCAATCAACCAAATCCATTACTGAGTTGTTCTTAAATGACTTAATACTGTCAGTTATTTCCTTTATAGGAACATCTCCTCGATATAATAGTGCGCAGGCCATCATTATGGCGTTTTTCGGATCGCACATGTTCATCTGATTGCCCTTATCGAAACAACTCATTGTCAACTCCTGGATTGAGAATTCTAAAAGAGAGAAAGTTGATCAAGTTGAACACTTACTTTCATGGTCCAGTGCATCAAGGGAGCAGAGGGGAGCAACACCAAGTTGGAGATATTTCAACCTCGGAAAAGGGACGAGATTGGTTTGCAATTGATGCAAATCCGCTGTAATAGGTCCTTCGTGCCTGAGAGTTGCCGTAAATCCACCCGTAGCTTGAGCAATAATCCGATTAAAGTGAGAAAATGTTGGTGCATTAATATCCAATTTCTTAGTACAGATTTCCGTTAGGGCTTCGTTTTCACAAAGTACTGAAAATGTACTGATATCATTAAGTGTACTGCAACACATTATGGCATTATAAGGTTCGACGACACAGCAGGCCTTTTGAGGATCCGGAAAGACAGCAAGCTCGACTTTAGGTACTTTATTAAATTCTGTATCCAATAACTCTAATAGACCTGAAGTAAATTTCAAATAAATAGATAATTAACTATAGTTTCAGAGAAATGATTGAAGTGGAAAAGCTTATTCAACGTACGGCACGATGTTCCCCCTCCGGTTCCACCTCCATAGGAATGATAGAAAAGGAAAGCTTGTAAAGAATCAGTATGCTCAACTTCTTTTCTAATGGAACTGTAGGAATTATCAATGAAAGATTGCGGAACACTGTAATATCCTCGAGCAAAATTATTCGCCATATCTTCCATTCCGCTAACGAGGCCATGAGGATGGAACATCGTACGATACAGGCCAGTGCGAATTTCATCTGGTCGATTTAATTTTTTGTTTTCAAACGATCGATTAAGTAACCATTTACAGCTATCAATAACTTACCAATTACGGTAGGTTCTGAGTCCATAATAAGGGTTCTGGGCACATAGCGGTCCTTATTATCTATCATAAAGATGGTATTACCAGCTAGTCTATCATAAGCAGTTTCTGTGCCGGGGTCAATTAAAAGCCCATTTGGCCCGACTCCATGTTCAACTCCCATTAATTCCCAAACGGCTTGAGAAACCTGAGCGCCGCATTGGCCCGAGAATACACTGATCACTTCTCCTAGCTACGGGATGGTGGAAATATTTGGGTAATAAATAATATCAATTTTCTCAATATTCATATAAGAATACATTGCAAACCACTAATACTAGGAAGAATGGGCCGTTTACTGTTTATTTATTTTAATTTGTGAAAGAGTTTTGCAGTAAAAGATCAAATATATAAAATAACTTACCGGCATTGGTATAGGCGCAGCTACTGAAACACGCGAGTGTTCCTCTTATCGATTGACGTTGAAGTACTTCCACGTGCGGGCCAAGTTTGTACCCATGCACGTTAATATTTTCTCGAAATGTCTTACGTATCTAAAAGAATGATATACGAAATGCAAACTATAACCTGTTCCGAACTTGTTGAATTTCTTCTCACGATTTTGCTAATTATTGCTCATAGTTTATTTTATTATCATAAAAATTTGACCAGAATAAATTAACGAATCGGAGTTTATGTAACGGATAAGTTTCATCAATAAGATCGCTATGGTTACAGAATGCTCAAGATCAGTTAGCGAAACAAGAGAACGGATTGTATAAAATTACAACACTTGTCGTTTTCCACAAGGATTTAGCACTCACTAGTAAGGAGCAAATATTTTTACTGATAATTATTAAAATAATTTTAATCCTATTTTTAGAAGATCCACACTCAAACGCCGTAAAGAAGTCTGATGAATATAAAGTAAGATAATAGGATCGTAACGCATAGGTTTTAGTGAAGATTATGCCGAGAGACTGTGGTGCATTGGTGTCTATACCAATTCGGCTATGGCTGTTCCCTCTCTCTCCTTCCATTTCTTCTACTTGCTTAACCTACATGATCAATTTAGTTTTTCGTGTTCATATTCTGTACCATAATTTCCCCATCGATTGCGCTCCAACGATTATCCCAGCTTCAGATAAACATGTCACTTACACTTTATTTATCCTGGTTAAAGTTTATTCGATGGAATTGTGACTTTTTTCTGCCTCCCTTTAATAAGTTAATCAAAAAAGGGACTTATAGATACTAGGGAAACATGAGAAAAAATCCCATATGGCCGGCATCCTTCAGTTCCTGCATTTCGATGGACAGAAATTCAACCCCTTGGCTGTTTCTAGTTTGCGGAGTTTTTCATAAAAATGAAGCTGATTCAATTAGCCACTGCTTCTTAGGTCTTTCAACAGACTCAACAGAAATGGAGCACCGTTCATTATAGGGATGGGACTTCTTCAATAGCCAAAATTTACACAATTTAATTTGATTTTCAATTCAGAGGATCTAACGGACTAATAAGCATTTGGGTTCTGCAGATAGCACAGATATTTCCGAGAAGAGTTTGTAGCGGACTGCTATGGTAGCAAAGCCTGACTGACTCAGAAATCTCTATGGCAGTTTCTCCAACATCTACCTAGACTCCCAGAACCAGCTAAGCTATAGCCCAGCTATAAAGGAAACAGACGTGTAGCACGGAGCACGGTTATTCAGTGGGTATATTGCAGATAAAGTCTACACGCAGGGAGCTACTCATGATCAGGTTGGGGGGATTGGGTTAAACAGAGGTTGATGATAAGCTGAAGTCAAATATTAAGGGCTAATGATAAATATCATAAAGTCTGCCATTTGAAATAAATAAATGATTGGTCACTGTTTGTATGGCGCACCTCCCAATCCTGGGGGGCAGACATGCAGGCATACGATGACGCACAACGCGATAACGTGTCCAACAAGTTTATGCTATTCCTTTTGGAAACCATTAAACCTTGAATATAGCGGAGGGCGATGAGGCTAAATGTGCGGGATTTAGTAGTCGCGTGGTAATGAGAAAAGAAATTTTTTAGGAAAGCGTCTTAAATAAAAGCTGACCGTGGAGACGAAAACCTTACTAAAGATGTCAGTAAATATAATGGTGGAAACCTCAACTAACACAGAATGCAATAGGTATGACTATGCATTTGCAAAGATAAACATGAAAGACACGAAGCGTTATTATCATAGAGGAGCAACCGTTTGAATTCGTGATGCAAATAGAAGAGGCTATTTCATATGTGGCGGATTGCTACGGTAGTAAAGCCTGACCGACTCAGAAATCTCTATGGCGAAGCTAAGCTATAGCCCAGCTATAAAGGAAACAGACGTGTTGCAGCTAAGCTATAGCCCAGCTATAAAGGAAACAGACGTGTAAGGAGCACGTTTATTCAGTACGGGTATTGCGGATAAAGTGTACACTCAGGGAGCTTAATCATGATCAGGATGGCGGATTAGTTTAAACAAATAGAGGTTAATGATTGGTCACTGTTTGTACGGTCGCACCTCCCAATCATGGCGTGCAGGCATGCGATGACGTGTCCCACATACCATGAGAGTTGCTAGAGCTGATAATGGGCCCCAAAAGTGAGTCTCATGCTACTATTTAATGGGGCGCCAAATATCTAGCTGCCCATATACTTTCACAGTTCTTTTGCTTTTTCATTGCGAATCGAGCTCATGGCAAAATATGGCACGCATTTACATACATGACTTAAAGGTTTAAGCGAAGGCGTTTAGATCCATGGCGTTACTAATTATGCTACAGTGGAAGGATTTAAGTGACTTGACCCACTTTACTACTTTCATAATCACTGTGTCAAAATATGTGTTGAACTTAGGGTGAGCTGAATTGGAAAATGCTTTTTATTATAAGAATAAATTGCATCAGCGAGCACTTATATAAGAAAATTATGTCAACATCTTGAGAACACCTGCCGATTCTCCTATCGCCTCTGGAATAGCTGAAAGCCCATGCTCATTTGACTGCTTATAATTCTAGCAGGCGCAATGCCATGAAAGATCACTCTGTCCTCCAAATATCCAACGACCGGTCATGAACTATACTTCCAGGAGATAGTTGCCGTGCCAATATCCATTAAGTGAATATTTGTCAACCGGAATACAAATTTAAAAAATGCAAAGACTGGTTTGAAATTCTATCTATACTATCAACATCTTTAAGATCGCTTCCCTTACGTCATTTGCAGAACTCGCCATTAGCCTATTTCAACTGATTTCCAACAGTGAAAAACTGCTGCCTTTTGTAAAACCAACCACTATACAACCAAAAGGAAAGAAACATTCGCTTCTGTTAAGCCAAGAATTATTCGACTTCTTTCATACCCCTTTTAGAAGATACTCGGTACTTGCTCATGATATAGTATTACAGTATGCTTGTGGTTCAAACTCAAGCCTTGGTCCTCTAACATCATCATTTGGTATACTGAATTGCTACTTGTGTTTGGAAAGATTCATTCAGAGACCGCTTCACTGGTTACTAAGAAAGCCACATCCCAACGTGTATCCTAGTACAAATCATTCCTCGATCTCGATTGGTAGCAAGGGATTAACCTGGGGGAATATGACTGACTATCTAATTTCTTTTACCTACACGCTCGTAACATAACATCTCGATCCTCACAGAAGTCCGCATTTTCTACATTACCAAATGAAAAAGACATTATATTCCAACATTAAAAGGTAGTTTATTTGGTACAAGATGTGAATTTGGCAATAAATTCCTTATAGGTCTGTTTGGCCGCAGCGCATATTGGAATCATGTGGCCCCCGGGGTGCAGGAGAATTGTGTGCGGAGTAGCGTAGAGGGAGAGGAGATCTTCAGTCATTTCTAAAACGCGAATGAATAATGCAAGGTTTTGAGAGAGCACCTTTCGCTTTAATTTCAGAACGACTTTGTACAAAACCGGTAGTAGAAGGAAGTTAAGCGGAAGAAAACAACGATTGAGACCACAAATGAATATTTAAGTAGCAGTTTATATGGTTGAGAACAAAAAACGGACCTCTTGGAATGACCTTGTCAGCCTCTCCGTAGACTAGAAGGGTTGGCATTTTGATAGGCTGATCTGTTCGGTAGAGAGGGGCGTGGATACTAGAACGACTTCTGAATGTGGCAACAAGAATAGCGAATTTCACTGTGGGAGCATTCCATTCTGCAAATAGATATACATATACACACACACACACACACTCCTATCGTCAGTAAAGCTAGTGCAATAAAAAATCATATTACTTTTAAAAAATAGCATCGAGAAAAGAGGACATTCAAACTGAAGCCATTTAGTCAGAGACCTAATACCAAGCACAAACAAATGAAAGGAAGGGATTTTGGGGAAAATGGTTAGCATCTACACATGAATCCCGATCGATCAGCATAAAGTCTATTTTATCTGTTAGACTGAATCTTTGGGTAGTCAGGAGCATATATATAAAACCGTCATAAATAAAACGATATTTTAAGCGCCACCTAAGACTATTACTTACTAGAAGCAACAAATTGTATCATAATAAAAGAAAATCCAAATTTGGCTGCATTAATGTGTGATCTAAACTAGACGTTTCTTCGCATGCATTATAATGAAACCAAGGGGGTAAAATTTCGCTCACAATAGTGAGATATGTTTTACCATTTTCTTAAATTAAAATTCTATACGTTACTAAAATGTTTATCTAGGCCATTACTCACCACTGGAATCTAATTATCTCGACTTCACAACGAAGCTTTAAGTATTTGACCCTGCTGCAATCGCAAGACTGTGATACTTGAAGGCCTCAAGCTTTCCCCATCTGTTTATGCTACTCCTTCTTCATGAAGCCCCCTTCATAAATGCGCTTATCATCCATCTCCAAGTGCCGTTCTCTCTTCTCTTTCTCCGCAATGGGAGAGAACTTACATCAAACTCGAAGCAACTCAAATGATGACAGGTGAAATAAACAACCACAAAAGAAACTAGAAAGTAAACTCAGTGCCTACTTAAAGTACCTCTAAACCGGAAGAGAGTCAGCTACATATATCAATAATAGGGCTAATGATAAAGATAAAGTGCCCTAAAACCGACTCAAAAGAGTACTTACTAAATTTACCAAAATAAAACAATTATACAACTAGCTAACCTTCTGGATAGTGTTCCATGAGTATCTGTAGAAGAGTAACGAAAGCAGCACCCTGAGAGAAGGCAAGGATGCCATCAAAAGGACCTTGATTTCTAAGTACCCCTTTGATAACTTCAGCAGAGTCTTCAAAGCCTCGTTGGAAGTCTGTATACTCCTGGGCACTGAAAGAGTCGTCCGGTTTACAAAACCACCAACTAAGACCCTGATTTTCTCCTTCGGGGCATGGAATTTTTAGAGGTGCATCTACAAAAACTTTCAAAATAAGTGCAGAATCAAAACAGGACTATTTAATTACCGAACTCGCAGGATGCCTTGAATATTTTACGAAAAGCACCAGACTTTTCACGAAAGCCAGCCCCGGTTTGCCTAAATTAGCACACATAATCAGATGCAAAATATCAACACTAGTATACACTTCGGAATGTCAATCAGAAGTAGTTACCGATATCCATGGATGCAAAGTATCTATTGCAAACAAATTTATCTAAAATATTTTGTAAACCTTAAGAGCCATACTAAGTAAGGAATAGTGTATGGTAAAGAACGCTTAGGTACGAGCTAAATCTAAAACTAGGCTAATCTAGCGGTAGCTCCAACCAATAGAAACGCCCTGTGATCACTAGCTCTCAAATTGTAATGTAGCTTGTAGACATGTTCGTCATCGAACATTCTGAAACGTCGCGGAAGTGATATCAATCTGACTAGGAGCAGATGAGGTCACGAGTGCGGAGACTTCCCACCCAATAGACGATCAATAATTATGGCATGGTCAATGCAGGCAAAATTGTATATAATGACTAAGTTCCTTGTCAGTTACAGAGGGCCCAAAACAAACATTGTCACCGTCATTCGTGTGTTTCCATCCTATTGTTGAGGTTGCTCAGCTAATTCAGGGAATCACTCCAAACTAGGAGATCTTGTTATAGAAATTGGCGAGCATTAGTAAGGCTCATCAGTTAACGATTCGCAACAATCGAGGCTATCCTCCTACTACATGCCTCACTGTCATGTTCGATAGAAGTGTGCGTAGAACGGTCATTTCTTAACCCCACTTCTCCTATTTGGTTATGCATATAACTTAGTTATTTGTTAGCAAGGCTATATATTTGCATATTGAGGAATCAAAACCCTAGTTTAACCAATGCTGTGGAATTTTTGCTTTTTATAAATTACTATATAAATTTATTTGCCTTAATTTGTTTATAAAATAAGGCCACTTGGTTCTTAAATTAGTGTGTACTTTGAAAATAAAATGGAAGTCAATCCACGACAAGCAAATGACTAGAATACGATCGTGATATAATTCGGCTTTTCGGATTTAAAGATAATCTAAATGTGTGTACACACAGATAAATTCACTGATGCAACTCACCACACGGAAGCATCGAGGATCAGATTTTAATAACTTCTTGCAGAAAACTTCAGTGTATATGCCCCAGACCTCCTTCGAAATGATTTAGCCAAATGAGTGTTTCAACTGGCATTCTTAATATACCTTCAGTGTTTTATCGCTCGTGTAGCACATCGTACAGTGGTTCCATTTATGACGGAGATAGCCACTTGTAGATTCTTTGGTTCAACAAGGTGATAGTTTTCATCAATGCACACCCCCCAACCCAAAAAAAACAAATAAAACTCCGGATTACTGGTTTAAAGATGTTTAACAGAACACATTAAAAGTTTTGTTGCTGTTACAGGAATAAATAATTTATCAAAATGAAAGGATCTAATCTCCTCCCCACGAGAGCAACTTTGGAACTGAAATATGGTGAAACAGCCCCATTTATATGAATAGCCGCAAAAGAGTCCTAACGAAAGTGTTAAAAAGAAGCATTCTGATAGTTGCCGCAAAAATTAATTAGGTGAAATAAATTATGAATTTAATGAACTATTCAAGGCAGACGAAGCACCGAACCACGAGCACAGGTCTTATAACACAAAGGGAGGGAAAATTAGCAGAAAGTGTGAAAGCCAAAATTGTGGAATGGGAGGAAGCAAACCGAATACGCTTCAATTAAATGCGTACTCTTCTAGATATTGAAACACTTTCCCACGAAGAAAAACAGAGCCAGTCTTAGAAACTCTATGGAGGGAGCATAACTTAAAGGGGGATGCGACAGAAAGAAATTTCCATAACATAATTCTGAATAGAATTTAAGCCTAGAGATTATAATAAAACCTACCACAGGAAAGAAAATATTTATAATCCATCAACCCTTCACATCATAATTCAAATATAAACAAACTGAGTTGGATAAAGGACATTGACCGATCACTTTAAACTATAAGGTAATAACAAGTTCAGACGTAGAGAGGTTAAACACACTACAGAAAACAGTCCGGGGTATGGTCACACATACATGACTTAAGATTGCAAATTGAAAGGAATAATAAATAGGAGGAAGGTAGGAGAATATTATGCTTTTAAATTGGCATCACCAATTTTGGAGAAGGCAAAAAGAGTACGAAGAGATCCGTTTTGCTTTTCTCCACGGTAGAAGAGCCCGGGAATGGGAGACTCAGCCATTGGGCTTCTGGGGTTCCAGTTGCCTACCCAAATACTCCCTAATATTAAAAAAATAAAGTGTTAGTTGGATCTAATAGACGCCTACCAGCAGCAACTATGTACACAACTCAACAAAAAAAGCACCGTAAAAGCGAACAATAAAAAAATCATTATCAAAAATATGCCAGGAGATAATAGTGCTAGGGAATTTGATATTACTTATATTTTATGCAATGCTGAACTCGATCCCGTTTGGATCTAAAATGGGTAATGGAAACAATAATATTTAGGTAACGGCAGAGAGCCTATTTTCTACCTTGGCAGAGCTCTCTACTATGAAAAAAAATATAAACACAAACACTTGGGTCTCGAGTTTTCTTATTTTCAAATGAAAGTCCACAACTACCATCGAAAAAGGGGACACAAAAATGTAGACACGGAAACACAAACATATGCATAAATAATTAGATGGTCATGATATCAGTCAAATATTGCATTATAAAAAAGGAAAAGGCAATAAGTGTGTTGTTCCTTCAACCTCAAACACCAGGTGGGCAAGAAAATGGAATGTTTTGCGATGAACTTGGAATGCAAAACGGGGTGAGATTACAAGAAATTCTCCTTAAATAACAGCGACTACTGTAGCAACATCTACATAGCTAAACAAGAATTACTCCGATTTTTTGAAATATTTGTCAAAAACATTCCTAAAAATGAATAAGATACACCACTGGAAATTGAATTAAATAGGAATAAAGGCCAGCGGTGGTATCTGTGACGTACCAGTTGTGAACCATAATCTTTTGAAGAGCAAGAAGAGCATTATAGCGAACAGAGGCATCGTTGTGTTGAAGAAGGGTCATTACCAACGGCTTTGCGTTCAGTTTATCAATAACTCTAGAAGAAGAAGTAAAAGCGTTAATGCCTGAGATTGAGGCTTTCCGGGGACTCATTTCACTTGAGTACTTAATTATTATTGCAAGTTTTAATATGCATAGAGATCGCTAATGGCACCAGAGCACCAGGAAATTAGGTTAAAATGTAAATAAGCTCACTGTTTTCCTCGTGCGTAGTGACTAACGAATTCACCAATATCATTGGAGGCAATAGCGAGAACTTGTGGGTCAGTTGAATATTCCAGTAAATAGATCAACATCCTATATGGAGAAAGGCAAATTACTTGTACTTATTTGAAGATTATACGGTATAAATCAAGAAGCACCTACTAGTGAAAAAACGCTCTGAACAAAGTGACGGATTGGTATTTATTTAATTAAAGCATAACTTTCTAGCCAATACCTCCATTGACTACTGGGAGTCAATTCAACAATTTCCCAATTCAATTGCAGATTGATTCTTAGTGCAAACGAGAGTAAAATTGATCATGCATTATTAATGAACTTACTGTTAACCGACTTCATTTGCTTTCTCACAATGAACCGTAGTAGATTACAGTAATATAGCATGACGGAAACTCACCTGAGAAGTTCATAGTTGTTATCCGTGAATTTGTCGGCATTTTCACGCCAAAATTGAGCAGATTTGTGGACGGGAGACCAAACGAGACGACCGGTGGCTAATTCAGTGACATACTCTTCCAAACTACTTACATCCTGAACGCACTCCACCAGAGTGTCCTACAAGATTTAGAAACAATTAAAATCTAGTCCAACCAAAATTAACGCAAAAATCCGAGAGCCTAAGATCCCCTTTTATTGAACTCCACTATGAAGAGTGCTTATATTTGTGGCAATTTCCCCCAATTAGTAAAAGTAGCCTTAGATTTAGGACATAGATTATATGTAAGAATACACCATTCCCTATAAACAGATTGTTGCAATTATGATAGGCAGACCACCAGAAACAGTTACTCCAATGTCTTCCACTTTGCTGGCAAGTTGGCAAAATGGTCCGATTAAGGATTTAACCAACGAAGATTCGACGGCTAGCCGCTTAATATGGAGGATAAAAACGTTAACAATAGGAAGTGCCAATCGCACGCCACAATAACTAGTATTAACAAACTACTTTAGTTTGTGAAAAAGAATGTATTTAAATGGCATAAACACTTAATTTGGACAAATGAATACTGAATTTTGGGGTCAAATTATGACATTTAAATACGACACTGAAATGACTCAGTCGGATGAAACAGACAATGAATTTTTTGTTATTTCTTACGAGCCTCATCTCCAATATGGCCAAAATGGGGACTTTTTTTGCTTAGCCATAGGTGGAAAAACGACTGTATTGCTTGTAGAAGTTTTACGCTTTCTTAGAAGAGAGAATTATGAGAACCACAAGCAATTAAAATAACTCACCCGAAGAACTTTTAAATCAGCCAACATCTCAGGGTCATGATTAAGTTCCTTTAGAGCGAGAATATCAAGACGCTTGAGGGCCTTGTTTTGAACCATTCTAAGGGAGATCGCACGCTTCGTGCGAGCATCAGTAAGCTGATCCAAAATCGACTAGAAAAAGAGAGCAACGCTTTAAAACAGGGAATCTAAGCTATTTTGAAGTTTCTTAACACTGAAAATCGTCAGAGCAAGTATGCAGTCTCATCTCTATTGCCGTGAATTGTGGGCTGATGAATAATATCAGTCAATATAAGGAGTGGCAGAATATCGTTTCCCTCTTGAATATTACAAGTGCAACTCCCAGATACATTTAGTAGGCTTTCCGAAAGCTCATCATATAGCCACTCAAGCGAATAGACCGACTTAAAAATTGCGGGTTTGCCATTCAGCCCACTAAATCCAAGATATCCAACAATGAAAACGGACAGGTTAGCCACTGTGACACCTGTGGCAAAGTCTCAATGAACTTGGGGAATCCGAATCCCTGGTAGTCAGGTGATTTAAAGTACGAGTTATTTTTCAATTACAATAATATTACCCTAGAGTATATGTGCAAATTACAACTACAACAATGAAATACTACAGAATATGCAGTTAAAAAAAGCGATATACTAGCAATAAATTAGATCTAATTGCTTATTAAAAAAATCTTCGAGAGTAATTTTAAAGAGGAAATGGGGATAATAAAGTGGATAGGAATTACTTTGAATAGTTCAATCTAATTGAGATTAACTTTTGACCATATATTTATTTAACTCTACTTTATAAAAGAAAATATCATCAAAATTTGAAAAATTCTTAGGAAATATGATGAAACCCAGAATTTCATTTTATTGATAACACGAACACCGTGTCATAGACTTAAGGGGCAAGCGCAGAGAAGCGCATTTAATAAAAGAAATAGCAGACAGCCACCTAATACGAACGAGCAGATAACAAAATTCTACGAGACGCTCTGATGATTAAACTCTGCCCTACATGAGATATGGGAAATATAGTGCTTTCCACAGGCATATGGTATTCGGATAAACAGAGCTTCATATTAAAATAGCTTTCAAATAACAGAGGTGGCTAAATAAACATTGAAATAAAAGAAAAATATAAGTTCGAAACCCACTCGCATAAGGGCCAAACAGATACGAAGATCTTTTTCACGATCAGTAATAGTGAAAAAATCACAGACGGTATTCACAAGTGTAGGCTCCCTGAAAAATAGACATTACAGAAACATTCCGAAAAGTAATTACTTGAGCATAACAGATACAAGATCTTCGTTGAAACTTAGGCACCACAAACAGAAGGTCAGTTGATAGAGAATCTCCATGCTGGAATTCTTGTTCGCGAGTACCTTTAGCAAACTAAATCCGTTGAAATACTTAGAGGAAATCTTACACAGAGACACCTTGTTTTTCAACAAATTTGAAGCGATAATTGCGAACGCGAAGAAGCATTTGTAAGTTTCTTGCAATTGTTCGAATATATTGATTTTTCTATGAGGAACTTAGAAAACAATGGGGGTATATGGACTCACAGGTACTTGAATATGCTCCAATAGCCAATCGTAAAAGAAGCCCAGTGACTTTTCATCCATCTTTTGGGAGGACCAACAAGCAAGTTTGGTAATTATTTTAGAGATCTGATAAACGCAAATCTCGTCGGATCTTTGGAGGAAATTGAAGAAGTAGTTCCAAATATTCTCCGATTTACAATCAAAGTATTTGCGAAATAATTCAACGCGACAAGTCTCCTCTGTGAACATTTCATCCATAAGAGAAAGCAGATATTGAAGTGTTTTTTCTTTTGAAATGCGATTAATGAGAGAGATGAATAATTGCGGAACCTAAAGCGATCAAATGATGCGATTTATAATACTTCATCATTAAATTCGTTTATAACCCGGGATCGACCATCAGAATTAACCGCATTGTCGAGCTGAGAAATAAAATCAAATTGCCTCTGATTAATCATCTGTCCCCTGAAAATAAATAATGATATAGGTACAGAAGTATTACTGAAGATATGATTGCCAATTAACACGAGCTTCTCGAATTTCAGCAACTTTGTTCTCCAAATATGTTGTCAAATCTTGAGCTTGTATTGCTTAAATGAAAGATTAACACAATAGATCTATTGTATACCATTATAATCAAGGTTTCCAAGACCGATAGAGAGAGCCATCTGTATCAAAGACAAACAGCACAGGAAAGGAGGGTGGGAAATAACTGCCTTGTGACTTGTAATCTTAGTTATTCGGAGGTTGTCAATAAAATATATAAGCTTCAGTAAATATTAATATGTTTATAAATTAAATAAAGAATATACTTATTTAGTTAATTATATTATTGAATTTTCTTTTTAAAAAGTTTTTCCTGCGTAATTAATGCTTAAAATATTTACTTTATTTTTTCTGCTTTTAGATTTATTTATTTTCATTTACAGTTAGAAATATTTTATTGTTTATATTTATTCAGGCTCCTTTTATTCAAAGTATGAAACATTCAAGAGTGATTGATTGACCTTATTCATATGCACCTAACAATTATAGCAACCTGATGCTTTAAATACATTCTTTCTTCCTACTTACTTTCATACCATTTCTCTTAATTCTGAGCTTTGTCCTTGTTGCTACTGCAAGCAAGGTTCTCTGATGAAACTTCGTAAGGAATAATTCTAAATGTACGATGTGGAGTTCGCTTATCATTAAAATGCACAATTTGGACAACGTAATTAGTAAGCAAAATAAAATAATTATTTCAAATAAGCCGCAATTATTAGTTTGGATTGAATCATCCAGAAACGAAATTGGGAGAAATTTAACCAAATTTGATTAAAGCTTATGCAAGGATATATGTGTGTATATATACATATATGCATATATATACTCAGGATGTCGATTGAATATGTGTTTTCTAAATCCTTGAGCATTTAAAATTTCTTCCATTTATATTGATAACTATTGGTTCATTAATATCTGGTGGTTGATGTCCAACGAAACTGAAAGTGAACGTTGAAGGTAATTGATCCACTGAATTAATTTGATTATATATATTCGAACCTCCATCTTTATTTGAAAATCTTGGCAGATTCGCACCACTTTCAGCCTTAATTTCTGACATAATATCCAGTACTTTTCTGCATATGGGAGAGGTTTTATCTTCTTCTGATTGGTAGAATGATTCCTCATTATCAATTGGATATTTCATTTTTGTACATGCCCTTATACCCGATTTACTAGGTATTTGATCTGTTCTAGCGGCATCTACAATTACTGGTATATTGTCTATTAGGCTCTTCATTCCCGTCTTAATATCTGTGACATTTTCTGATAACTTCCGTATAGATGTTCGCTCGGAATACTGTGGTAAGGACTCCGACTGTCCTCCCAATAGTGATCGAATTTCCTGCTTAATTTCATCAATGCTCTGTTTCAATTCTGTTCCATCGCATGTTGGAGGCTTTAGGGCTGCAATTTGTTGCATGCTTTGCCGTATGTCTTCCAAGACTTTCTTGACATAATTTTCTTCAAAAGCAGGCGTTATCTTTGTGCCCACTGTAGAAGAAACTGGATTTGTTTCTTCCTGATGTTGTCTTGACTCATGATGCCAGTCTGGAGTGGTTTTAGAGTTTTGAATAGCCGAGCATTTATATGGTGACGTGATCGCCTCTTCAGGGTTTTCTGGTTTTCTCCCCAAAACAAACATATTCACGCTTGGTCTCTTTAATACTTCTGAATTCCTTTTGTCTTCAATCGAAACCAAACTTTTCTTAATATCACGAAGAGCATTCATCATGCTAGTGTCAGCTACACTTTGCTGATTAGCTCGTGAAGATTCCATAAATCTAATACTTGATCGAATCTCACTAAGAAGAGTTGCCACTTTGGGATTCAAAATCTTTTCGGGGGTAAGTGACCGTTCTTCCAAGTTAGTTACAGACTGACGCATTTCTTTCAATGAGTCCACAATTTGTTGGTTCGTTAATGCTGCTTTTTCGTTCTTGGAAGTCTCGACTGAACGAATACTTTTTCTTACACAGTCTAGAATATTCATCATTTCTTGATTTGTTCTCTCTTGTGCCTGCTGGTTTCTTTCTTCCACAGTATAGATTGTCTCTCGAATTTCTTTAAGAGCAGAAAGAACCTCTGGTTGTGGAGATTGCGTCTCCTGTCTTGTAGACATTGACTTTATAGTGTTCCGTACATCATTCAGCATGTTAAGAACGTCAATGCCAGGTCCAGATTGATCTTTGATATCCATTCCTCCAATGTTCTGACAGATGTCATTTAACGTAGTCCTAATGTTAGTCATCGTTTGAGATTGAGGAAAAGAACTGATTTTGGACATTGGAGAAACTTTGCTTTGGGCATTTCCATCATACTTTTCAGGGTTTACATTATCGCAGGGATCCTGAGTAGTTTTACAGATCTGACTGCAAAATTCTGACTCTGGCAACATTTGATTTGAGGGGTGCGCACTAAGCAGACCGTCTCTGAGTAAACCTCCAACTTCTGGAACTGCATTTGTTTTACCTACTCCGCAATTTAATTCTAAATTCTTCACACTCGTTCGTAAATCTTGCAGCAATACTTTGATCGAATCGTTTTCGAAATTATTCTGATCCGCTGACTTCTTTTGGATTGAATTTTCTTGTGAAACTCCATTTTCTAATTTTCTTGAAATTGATGGTCCACCATCGGGTTCTTCACGAATATTTTCTCCATCAGCATCACTATGGTAAGACCGATCGAGATAATTTTGGGCGTTTTTAAGAAATTCTTGACCTTCTGGTCCCATAGCGTTAAGCTTCTCGTAAAGTCCTTCGGGAGTATAAGTCTGGAATGGATTAACTTCACCCGGGGAAGATGGATTAGTTTCCTTGCAAAATTTGAGTATTCTGGAACATAATTCGATAGGCTCTCGATTAGGTGAATTCATCCTTGAAAGCGGACTTCTTCCTGATTGCCGCCGAAGAGAGTTGCCCACCTTTGAAAGAACCGTAGACAGCTTTCTACCTGTATCTTTATTAACGGGAATCCGCGACTCAATAACGTTTTTTCGATTCTCTGAAGGAGGAGATGATTGACTTTTTTGTTGGCTTTTATCAGTAGCTTGGTCAACATTTCTGGTTTCTGGGCTTGGCTTTGATGGCGCTGATCCTATTTTAGGTTTCTCAACTGCTGTTCTTGTTAAGGTGAGCTGTTGTGGCGTTCTGGGTTTTACCATATCTTTCTTGGTAAGAGAATATTTAAAAGATGGAGTGGTACTCCTTTGACCTTCAATAGAGTGCCTAGAATGTCTAGATCCGGTACCATTGGTTTTGGCTTCTGCGATTTCTTCATTTGGCTTCAATTGATTTTTGGGAGCATTACTTGTTTTTACAGACGGTGATTGTTTGGGAGAAGGAGATGAATTTGTTGCATTGATAGGGCATCGAATATTTTTATTGGCTTTAGTATCCGAACGGGGAACGTCAAGTGAATTCATCTTCAAAGGTGAGGGTTTCAAAGATGAAAGAAGTGATTTGGGAGAAGGAATGGGCTTTTTTAAGCCCTTTATACTATTCTCAACCTCTTTTATCATGGATACCACACTAGAACTAGATTCTTCAGAACCCTCCAGCTTTGCTTTCATCTGCGACTCATTCAGACGACTTTTGATCTGCTTTAGGACTGCCTCCATATCGACAATGGTGCTTTCTCTCAGATTAGATTTTCCACATTTAGTTGATTCCAAAATAGTAGTTTTCAGATCTTCGAGAAGTTTAATAAGGTTCTCAAAATTTCCAGTCTTATAAATTTTTTTACATTGATTCCCATCGTCTGGACCGTTGAATTGATGTTCATTTTTCGAACTTTGAGCCGTGGCGATCTTTTTATGATTGCGTTGATTATTTTCGGACATTTTATCAGATTTTAAGCTGCTTGAAATACTGTCCTCAATTTGCTTAAACTTCTGTTTTACACCAATTCGTGCATTCCGCATGCTAAGATCGGACGAAAATGATTTGACCTCCAATTCACGTGGATCCCTCATGGTTTTTGTTTCTATTATCGATTTATTATAATATTAGCGGACAGTCAAGCGATATATATGATTTTTTTATTAAAATTCATTGCCAGAATGGAAAAACGCGTTTCAGCATATGCAATAAATCGGAAGAATTAGTATTATTCGTGTAGTTCAATGATTCAGAACGCAACTGGATTACTTTTCCCGGTACAATTAACCTATTCCCTCGATATTTTGTTCTTTCAAATAGCTGTATTCGTTCGAAATACATAATCTTACATTGGATTAATGACTTAAGATTACTAATGAGTCCTATTAAACCTCGAATTATTAGAGATATTAAAATTCTCTATCTTAATATTCTCTATTCATAATTATATAGTAAAAGATCGATTTGAGTACGCATTATTCTATTTTTATAACAAGTGGACAAAATGAGATACGAAAAAGAAAAAAATAAGATAATTCTAAAAAATGAAAGATAAAATAACTGGTCAACTTTCGAATTAAAGTCTTAGTGTAGCGCTTTCTGGTTCTTCAATGCAATACATTGATCCTTTCTCATTTTTTGAATATTCACGGTATCTGAGGTAGTGGGCATATGTTCGTTCTGAGCTAATTTCTTACCTTGATTGGTCAGTAAGCGAATCACTTCTTGTATCTTTGCCATTAAAACTGGTGTCAGGTGACCATTTGCATTTAAGCAACATTTTATGCATTGCATCACTTTGGGCAATTTTCTCAGCGTTTCCGAGTTCAATTTTCCTGCTTGAATCGCATCCTTCAGTGCATCTAAAAGGAAAGACAGAAGAGTTTCCGTATCAGCATCTGGAATATCAATATGTGGCCTAGCTTTTTTTATTAATTTCTTCAAGTAAGCCACTAGGCAGCACAGCAGTTTATTGGGATCGATGCCCTTTGATTTTGAACCCAAATTACTTCGGATTTGATTCACTTTCTGGAGTAAACAACTCCCATCTTTCTGCTTTCCTAGTTCAATCCCAAGACATTGCATTAACTTTGGGAGCTGCTGTTTAGTTCCTTCGTCGATTTTATCGCATCCAGTAACGGCTATCATAGCATCCAGTACGCACTTCACATGGTTGAAAAAATCCGATTGCGGGAACTGAGTGCCAGGTTTATACTGATTTATAATGCCCTTTAAGCGGTGAAGTAGACATTTTAGAATCGGAGTTTCTACTAGTTTTCCGCTTCTTTCGGATATGGATGGATTTGCATCGATTTTCAGTATTTTCTTTTGATGTATTTTTGGTGTTGAATAGTTATATACGACTTCCATATGCTTGCGTAATTGAATAACTTCTCGAAGCAATAGTTCAGCCGAACCCTCCTGCTTGTAGAGTTCATATTCCATACACTTCAGAAGGGCTAATATCGCTCGCATAGTCCTTGCATCCCCTTGGCAAGTTTGAACAAGGTCCTTAATACATTTCACAATGCAATGAAGAGTAGTTAATATGTTATTATTGACGAACTCAACTTCCGGTCGAATTTGTTGAATGTAAGCCTTTATTTTATTCATGATTGATACCAGCTCGGGAGTAGATTTGAGATAGTTAACATTATTTGATTGGTTGACATTAACACTTTGAACTTTTGTACATACTTTAGACTTTCGGCCATATTTCTTGCAGGCGTCTAGAGGAGCAGTCTGTTGGAACTCTGGAAAGGCATGGGAAGATTTTTTGGTTGAGCGTACCGCTTGAAAAGTATTTGAAACAGGCTTTATGGTATAGATGTTTTCATTACTCCACCAACAATCTTGAAGCTCTTCTGGTTGTATGAAATCAATTTGTGTACTCATATTCTCAATTTCTGGAATTCGCTGAACCTCATTGGAACTTGCAATACTACCATTATTTTCGTTCTTATTCAATTTGAAAGGCTTTTTCAGTGAATTCTCAACTACTATAATGTCTCCTATAATATTCTGATTGGTGGTCTGTTTCACTGGTCCCTTTGATTGCTTAAGCAAGCCTAAGACTTCTTTAATTTCTGAAACTATGGGCTTGTCTTTAAGCCCTTGCCGTTTCATTGAGGAATAAATATATTTCAGATGGTTCTCAATTTTATCGATTCTGAGATGTTTTGAGGAATTTGACAGAGCAAAACTTCTTAAGATGGTTAAAATTAATCGCAATTGCGTTTCTGAATCCTCAATTTTAGGAGTCAGATCTTTGATATGCTTATTAAGATAATTTATAGATTTATTGATATTAGCATTTTTAAGATACGTATTTTTAATATTGGCACTCTGTAATTTCGAAACGTCTGTTGAAATGGATTGTAATGACTCTGATATGTCGTTGATCTTTTCGCTTAGTTTCCTCACCGTATTTTGGAGATGTTGTAGGATTATGTCGTTGTGATTGACAAAAACACGATTCTTCGCATTCTGGAGGAGAACTTCTTCCATTTCTTGGATCTCCTGCAAAATCGGCGCTTCACTGATTATCGACTTTTGAAGTTGCTGTTGAGAGATATTCATTCCCCGACTGCTCTCGTTAATGCTTAATGCTAGTTGTGTTGTGGATTTTGGAACATAATTTGGCTTGACAACATTAGTTGTGTTCACTGAATGCATATAAATTTCGTCTTTCATTCGGGGTAAATGAGTGAAATAAAATGATGAAAGTGGTGAATATCAAAATTTAAAATGACAATAGCTGTCTACAACACGTGACTTCAACGCCTTTCAAATATTTCATGTTGAGAGAGAACATCGACAATACATTTTGGATAATAACTCAGACATACAGTAGGTCACTACTGCCATGATATAATGCGAGGATCTAATACATCTCAAAGACCGTATATGGGAGGTGAGACTTTCAAAAAAGAATGAAGAGAATTTTATTTCTATTTCCTCAGTGATCATTAAGTCATATCTAGCTTTCTTCTCTTGGCTGGTTTAAATCCATACGACTGGTTGTATACCGATGAGTCTAACTTTTGATCTCTAACCTAGCAGACACGGTTTTCGTCACTTAATTGAAAATTAGAAACTTAAAGGGCTACTGTTAGTCTGATATTGACGTTATCAAGCTAATAGTGAAAACTACTCCATATTTTTAAATTGAAAATGACCGTATTCAGTGTACCTTAGTAAAGCCTGACTGACTCAGAAATCTCTATGGCCGATTCTCAAACATCTAGCTAGACTCCCTGAACCAGCTAAGCTATAGCCCCAGCTATGAAAGGGAACAGGCGTGTAGTACGGAGCACGTTTATTCAGTACGTATAGTGCGGATATAGTGTACACGCGGGGAGCTACTCATGATCAGGATGGGAGATTAGGTTAAACAAACAGAGGTTAATGATTGGTCACCGTTTGTACGGTCGCTGCACACAGAGTTGTACGCCGCACCTCCCAATCCTGGCGAGCAGACATGCAGGCATACGATGACGCACACAGCGAAACGTGTCTCACAAGTGGATAGGAAATGAAGCGCGTGATCCGCCCGTTAATAAAGCACGCAACAGTCATAAGGTGGATAATGGAACAGTTTGAATAAAGTGGTACTAGGACCCACAATGAATTAGATTTGAATGACATCCTCACATTGTTAAGTTTATTTCTTTGGCCTATCTAATAAGTTATAAACAGCACTATACTAAAATCTAATAGAGTTTTTTGAAATATATTGCGCTACTCTTCGAGATAACTTAACGCAATTATTAATTTCAATTTCCTGCAAGGCACTCGTGGATTCGAGTGAATTTGAATATATCATTGAACAAATTAAATGGTACTCTGAGAAGGGAAATAATTACTGGCTTCTCTCTAAGTTATTTTGCATCGATGCGCATGTTAGCGAGCTGTCTTACGATCTTTGCAAATGATATATTAAATCTAGTAGTACAACTACGATTCCATCTAAGTCTTGTGGCTAATTCCATACATTTTACCAATCTCTCTGCAATTATTATAGGACGGCAGTATGACCTAAAATGAAAATAAATCATTTAGTATTCAAATAAAGCGAAAATAAGATTATCGAAATTAATGAACACGGAAATAGGAAGTTTCGCTTCTGTCACGGTGTTTGAGGAAATTTGTGCACTCTTTGAAGTCAATTTTATGTTGGCCGGCGACGCTTATTGTTGAGCAGAAAGGTTATTTTATAACCGTCTGTAAGCACCCCGAGTAAGACGGTGTCATTTTCTGCTCTGTTCTACTCAGTATCTCCTTAATCTCATTAACCTGACAGATAACGTCACAATTTGAATTTAAGATGGCCCAAATTTGATACAATTTCCTGAGTAGACTTTCAACAGAATTCTCTTGAGTGCCTGATAGTTCTTTGTCAAACTTCTGGACTAACTAATGAAATTTAACCATAACCAAAACAGCTGACGAGTTCACAAAATTATCCGGGGGCTCTAGGTAAACACTGTTCATTTTGATATCTCGTATGAGATTTGGCATCATCAATAGTTCTTGATGAGACGGGATTTAACGTATTGGGCATTCTTTCTTCATTTGGATTATTGGAGACTGCTGGGGGGATGCACTAGTTTTGTTTTAATAATTTCCATTACATTTCGAATATTTGCATCCAAAGGGTAAGAGAGATTACCCTGTTGTTGAAATTCATCATCTATATAACACAAAATTTGTCCAGTTTTCACCAAGTTTTCCTGGTTGATGCACCCATTCTGCAAAATTCCCCCCAATACATCAATCAAGTAACGTAATTCTCCTAATACATCACTTGTTTCTGACATTGATGGATTTGGATTAAATGATCGAATAGCCGACTTTAATTGTGCAATCAGGCTACGAAGTCGGGGAGTGGATTTGACATTTTGGGCTAAGTTACCATTTTGTTTTTCTACTTGGCAGCGCTTTAGGGTCTCCAAAATTGAAATGATCTCCTCCAATAATAACATAACTTCTTTTCGATAATTATTGTCAAACCCTAGTGTTTGAGCCTTTTGGGGAGTAGTTCTTGAAGTTTGCAAAATATTAGTAGTTGAGACGGAGGGCTCCTCTTCTGTGGTATTTGAAGCTAGATGTTGTGATAACTCATCCGGATTTTCGTTCAAATCATTTTCTAATAAAATCCGTAGTTGTTCTAAAAAATAAGTAACCCTTTCCTGAGCTGCATTGCATTTATCTCCTGACATCATCAATTGCATATTTAATAAGATATTTAATTCTTGCTCATCCACGTTGGCTTGAGTATCAATGCAATTATCATCCCTCGTGCCATTTGTGACTTCGTCAACCAGAGGCTTTAGTGATTCCTCTTTGTCCAAAATGAGATTGCTAACATCCTCATTTGGATTGTTACTTTGCTCCGTGCCTTTGTTCAAACATTGTGTCGGTTGGAATTTATTAGGTAACTGACTCCCAATTCCATCTACTTCGTTACCACGTTTCGAAACAGAAGCACCAACATTACAGTGTGATTTAACCGTTTGTTCCAGTTCATTGAGCTGATCCTTCATAACCTGAATTTTTTTAGTAACTTCATTTTGTTGTAGAGAGGATTCCGTAATAGACCTGTCCTCTTTTTCCTTCTTGCCAGTTCTGTTCAAGTAAATCTGTCCTAATGGATTTGTTTTTCCCTTTTCATTGAGACATCCATTGTCTAGGGGTGAATTTGCCCTCCGAAATTCATTTCCTTGTTTGCCATTTGCTACCAAACCTTTTCCTCCAGTGTTTCCAAAACCGGCTGCTTTAGTAAATATTTTACTTGCTTTTTGAAATCGCTTGGAAATCTGAGCAGCTTTTATTTTTTTGCCAAGTGATTGATATTTTAGTGAAACATTTTTAACTGGAGAGATGCTATTCTGGCCTTTGGTGGGCACTGGAGATTGCATACAAGTATCGCGGGAGCTAAGTGAGGCAGTGTATGCATCGCTTTCTGAACAGGGTTTTGGATTTGTTAAATCGACACTGACTTCAGTAGGCGTGTCGCAGCTCCTTTCAGACTTTAGGCGCGAATCAGCTTTCCAGTCTTTCCTGTTAAGTTTATTTGATTTAGATTTTCCCTTTTGTTTAACAACTTTACGGCCTTTGATGTTAAGAGGCATTTATTTTTCCTTGTCTGAAGATACCACCCACTGTTTCAGATCTTTTGAGACCACGCTAGTAGCGTTGTTTAGTAATATAAGGTCATCTGATCGATTAAACGTGCCAATCACATTGTTTTAACGGGATTCAGTCAAAATCCTGATATTAACTTAATGTCTCTTATATTCGCATAGTACATGCTAGAAAAACTAAATCTACAGATTATCTACCTTTGGTAGAGTCCAAATTGCTTCTGTTGCGGCTGAATCAGACCCATACCGGAAGTTTACACCCAAAATCCTTTAACGGTATTAGAATTGTACTGATTATTAATGGTAGTACAATGGGACAAGGATTGAGGAACATCGAAATGCTCAAAGCCCAGGCAGCTTGTTTTTTCTTGCGAGATCATCTGGGCTTCTCGATAGTATTCGTGATCGCATGACTCTGTTTGGCTACATTTCAATATTTTTTTTCAAATAGCAATCATTTTGATAGTTATCATTAGCCCTTTAGTTGACTTGGGCTTCACAGAAGGGAGGAACATTAAAGTGAAAAAAATTCGATAGGGGAAAAGAAGATCGATTCACAGATGCAAAAGAGACAGATAGATACAAAGGCAGAGAAAAGGCTAGATGAGTACTGTGAAAGGGGCTGAATATGACATACAGTGGGGTCATGGTAATTTGAAGTCAGAAGTCAACTGCCAGTTAATAGACTTTTTTGGCGTATGAGTCCTTTTGATACTGGGTATGAGTGGCCAACCCCACCCCTCTCCTTCCCTCTCGTCCCTCTGTAGTCGAGTGCACCTCGTTTGTTTATCTAAGCGTTTGCAAGTGGTGCAATATTATATGATGTAAACTGAATACAATGAGTTCCCTAGGAGGAGTTTTCTTGGCTTCTTACGTAGTTAAAAATATGTGACAGGAGGAATTCCTCCTTACTTTACAATAGGTGCATACGTCGAAAATGGACATCATTATTTTGAAGCTTCAATCCACACCAGAATAAGCTAATAACCATTTGAAATAAACAATTGTGGGAAAATAAATTTTAAATTTCAACGGGAAAATTAGTTAAGCAAGAGGAAAAGCTTACTTAGCGAGGGAATTTGCAAATCTTTAAAAAATAACAGAGATTAGGTAAAAGTCACAATATATGTAGTGCTCTATATGAAATATTATGGGAACATTTCTAAACACATTTCAGTAAATAAAGACTAAGGTGGCCCCAGCAAAACACTGGAAAGGAAGGACGAATAGTTTTAAACGAATAGCAGATAATTTTATTTCATTTAGAAAATAAATATTTTCCCCCTAAGATCTTATAAGTATGGAAATTTCATGTTCGAAAAGATTTTCACGTGTTATTTAGCGTTATTGATCGACATGCATTGTCGTGTACCTCATGTGAAAGCGTGGTTCCTGCGAATAAGGCCGTCGAATGTCGCGTTATGACCCCCCTCACAAAAAAAATTCCAGAAAACATAAACCCAAGGATTCCTCACCTATTCGAGCATCTCATCCACCCCTCAGCTCCCACAGAAGACCTTTAATCCTCACAAAATGCGATCAGGAAATTACCTCCCCTCTCTGTGTTGCTGAGGGCATAAGTGATAATGATAGAAGTGAGGCCTCAGACGCTACTATCTCCATAGAAAGGTCTAATGATTTACCCATTAATTCTTGTGTGTCTCTAATCTCTCAAGCTCGAATTAATTCGCGAGCCCAGATCAACACGAATTACATATCTAAACAGGGTACTTGCATGTGTTGTGACCCATCAAGTATCGATAAATGTACAGAACTTGAGGCGATGCGTCGAGGGTTAGCTCGGATTCAAGCTGGTCACGGACGTCCATCTGATTTCCTACCCGATAAACAAGACTCTCCGGTTGATCCATATATCAAAAATAGTCTTGAAGATATTCGACGCAGTATTATGGAAGTAAAGGAGACGAAACAGAATGTTATTGGGAATGGAACCGCAGAGACTCAGCTAGCCGGTCAGACAAATCCAACCAGTGCAGACTATGCTAGCTCTGGTCAAGACAGTCATGTAATGATCACACTTCATGAAATCCGTAATGGTATTCAAAACCTAACAAGAGCAATAGAAGGCGTTCATGTGGGAACGAGAGCAAATCCTAATGCAAAACCTGAGGATGCTCCTGTTATTGAAGCTTTAGGAGAGATTCAGAGAAGTTTGCGCACTCTTTTGGGTTTTCCGGAACATTTACCTTATGAACAAGCAGAAAAGCATGAGAATCACACAGTTATGGGTGCTATCAATGCAATTCGAACGAGTATTAGGCAGTTAGAAACTGGAGCACATGACGATATTGGAAGACAGCAGGCTGGTGAACTTGCTGAAGCAATAAGTGAAATTCGACATAGTGTTCGAGCTATGGCAGGACATTCACCAATAACTGATGATGAAACTACTCACGAAAAGTCAGAGTTAACCGTAGACAAGGTGACAGACACGATGACAAAGAACTTTGAAGAATTACAGAAAAGTCTTGAGAAGATATCGGAGCTGTTGATGCACGAAAATGGAGATGGCAAATTTCAACTAGACAAAGAGAAATGTAAAAGGGAAAAGAAGGAGAAAAAGAAGAAACACAAGAGGTGCAGAAGTATGTCGGATAGTGAAAGTGAAGACATCTGTACTGATTCCGACAGTGATCGAGAATGTTGTAAGGATTCCCATCGATTTGGGAAGACTTGTGATAAAATCATTGACTTTCTGATCTCAAATGAGAAGAAGAGTGGTACTTATCCTCAAATTCAACTCTTGATGCCGAACCAGCCCCCAAGATTTATATCTCCAATGTTCCGGCCTCCACCTAGACCCCAAATGGCTTTACCACCCCCACCACCACAGCCAAACCATGTACCTCCACAAATGTACTCTCCGTATTCCTGCCATTTTCCATCACCCCAGGTACCTGCAGGACCAAATGCTTATCAATCAAATATTTGCAACCGGTATCAGTTCAAGCAGCAACCACAAATGGAGGTAAGAGAAGTATCTCCTGAAGTGAACCTACCACCACCACCGCCACTGCATGGTATTGCTGTTCCTCAGATGAACACTGTTCAGTCACAAGATTTTGCTGAATGTCCTAAAGAGAACACCAAACAACCTATTTTGTTCAAAGCTACAGTTATTGATGACAAGGCAACTCCTGACATTGTTTCGCGTAGCTTTATAGGTAGTGTTGAGGCTGATGAAAATGGTAGTGGAAAGAATTCAGATCGAAAATTCATCTGCACACCTGTTAATTGGTGATATTTCATTTCACATAATTATACACAATTGCCTTTCATTTGATTCACTGTGTCTTATCAAATATATTAAGATTTCAGTAAGATGTGTAATATAAATTTGAACTTTCTTTAATATATCTGGACATTTAGAAAGTTTGCTGTTACATGTGTTAGTATTAAAAAATTGTAGTTATAGCTAGAATTAGGATATTCACAACTTTACAGTTTGTTAAAACGTGCATATGTAACTGCCTCACCCAAGATATCAGTGTTTCGACAGCAAAGGCAACACAAATTTAAATAACAAAATATGAAAATCCTCGTAAGGTGGTGCACTGTAAAGAAAGAGAAGGTAGCGGTAGGTGACAATGAAGTACGTAGAAAATGACAATAGTGAGGGCTCGGTATTGAGCTCCTCCCGAAGCACATAAATTTGGTACATGAAAAAAAATAAATTACGAATAGCTCAAAAAACGTTCGGGAGCTAATCTACATAAATGGCAGTGTATTTTACGAAGATTGAAAATGTAAACTCTTGAGACATTCCCATCACTTCTATTGACCATGTTCCAATTATAGCTAAAAAATGTCCCCTACCAAAATAATGATAACATATCGTTGCACCAGCAACATATATTTCTGAGCCTTTGTGTCTGTTTCTTTTACATCTTTGAAACACCCTTCTATTCACCCTCCTGTATTCTTCTTACTTTGATGTTCCTCCTCCCCTCTGTGAAGCCCGAAGTCAACTAATGGGCTAATGATAACTATCAAAACGCCTGCCATTTGTTATAAATTATTTATGGTTACTTATTCACAGGGATTGTATATTTGTTAAAATGCACCAACTTGGAAGTCATTGTCCTGAGTAATTTAGATCCACATACCATTGTTGAGTTCCGGAGTTTGGTAACTATTTTTGAGGCAAACTAGTTTCTAGTGGTGCCCAGCATACTTTATTCACCACCTCTGACTATTTCACAATGTGGAATGGAAAAGGTAATTGGTTCTTCAACACATAGTGGATGGCTCAAATCTATGTTAAATTTTTTCCATCTTTCCGATGAAATGAAGTACCCCTTCTGCAAAGGTTTGAGTAAAACGTGACCTCCGTTGCTTCGAGCCTATCCAAACCACCGTATCTTCTTGTCCTCCTCAAAATTCTACTCAATCACCTGTGACACCTATCTCTGCTAAAGTGGCTGCTACTGTAACTAGTCCACACGGCTAACAATGGCATGAAATTGTACCTACTAGTCAGAGATAGTTTAAAAGTAATGAGGCTTCCGAACCCCACGATATCCATTATACTCAAAGTCGCATCTGCCCGACTTGACTCCGAACCTACAGCATCCGTTCATCAATCAGTCCCATATTCTTAAGCAGTTGGCTCCATTAAATGACGGATAGAAAGAATCGGAGGAAATCTTTCACAGTAAACCTATTTACCTCCTAATAGAATAGTGCCAGAAGTGCTTGCACAAAATGCTTCCGAGGTTACACTCATCATTGGGATCTTGTATACTCTCAAACTAGAGTTTCATAATTTTACGTCGATTTCAGTTTTCCTGGACCCACCCGAGAAATAGCATATATAAGCTTCTGTAATTCGTATTAAAAGTGGCCTGAGGTTAGATTCATTGATTCGGTCACAAATGATGTCGATACTGATCGTCTTCGCAGGTATTCATTCATTTTGAGCGACCGCAAAATAACTTGTCCCCGGAACTCAGTATTAATTGCTCAGCTGATGACGGTTCTAACATAATTTAATCTGGAACAATATGATCACCCTTTCGCTTTGGAATTCCCAAACTCTATATTCCCAACTCAATCATCGGCCATAACATTATTCTAGGCGCCTAAAGGACCTCGGAAATGCTTTGAATTTGAATCAAAGTTCGCAGCGAGATGTCTGATAAATTTTAATTGGCAAAATACTGTTTTTTACTCATGAACTTTGTACATTTGCTAAAATTTGGGGTCGTTGTCTTGCATGGTTCTATAGCAAATTTTGCCCTAACGGGATGTTATTTATATTTATAAACCTTGAGTGGGAAAAGAGTATGAAATAAGCAATCGTGCAAGAATATCTACCCATGAAATCATAGACCTTATTTTATTTATTGGCAGTAACCCTTCTTTTAATAAGCGTACCCCACTTTAAAATCTTCCGTGTTTCCTCCTCGTATTTAACTAGGAATGAGTACCCGACAATAGCCATACAAATTTATTACAGTAGAAATAATATGAACTTTAATTACTGTTTTTAGTGTTGGTGGTTTAATTCTTTATTGATAAATCTTCGGTATTAATAGTTCATTAACATTATACAGTGTTTATCGATCAACATAGAGAAGGGACAAAAGAAGTTTTCATCTAGGCCATAGGTTGCTGGAAAATCCATGAAAATGAATGGATAGAAGAGTTGGGTTTAAGTAAACGCTCTTGACAAGGGGTTGCTCACGTATTATACCGGCTGCTGCTGCTTCTGGGCTACTGTAAGGTAGCACTAAAGACCTTGAAGAAAAAGGGAAGAAGGATTGTAATTTATCTTTATTAAGAATAAGGATAGCAATTTTAATTGGCTAATAATCAATAAAGGTAACAGCATAAAAATTTATTCGCAGATGCGCGATCAATAAAAGGGATATAGATGAAGCCGCTAAACTTGAGATGAAATCAACTGGCCTGCTAGTGAAACCTTTCATTTGTCAAGTCCTCTATAGTAATTCAAATGATTGATTTCAAAATAAAATGTTTAGAGAATGTTGCAATTAAGCTTCAGTCAAAAAGGCGGGCTTGCTCCAAATTACAGCTATTTAAACAAATGGCTTTAACTAGTGAAGGAAACTTACTAAAACCAGATTTTAAAATTAAAAAAATATCTAAATTTCTAGTGGAAATCGGAAAAATGCTGATAGCTGGATTCAAAAATATTTTCTTAATATTTTTCGTAGTGAAGCCTTGGGAGCAGTTACCTACACCAGTTTGTTTTTGAAAAATGGACATTAAATGACCACTAGGGCTTGAGGTTAAAATTTTAGGAGATTGAAACTGCTTAGGAGAGTATGTTTACTTTAATTCCTCAATTTTATCGTGGAGGAGTGGACTATTTAAATTGTAAGCTATAGTATACCATTGATTACCATTCTGGCATATAGAAATTTAAATACTTTTATTTTTATAAGATCTTAGTCTAATCAGAAATCGAATATCGGAAGTCATTGATGGTAGTTAAGGCAGATGTTTGCCAACTGCCGATTAATTGAGTCCAGTAACTTATGCCTTAGTGAATGCTTAGATGTTATGTTTAAATTCTTTCTCGCTTTCACAGCATATAACCCATGATTCAAATATATACATGCATTGATTCGTTTACCTAAATCACGTCTAACATCACATTAGACTCCATGCCGTTCTTCAAAAATGCCAAGAAATGAATCAAGCCTAAGCCACGTCACGCCTTTAATGAGCCAAAGATTGAAACAACCGAATCTTGTATCTTCAAACAAATCACTAGCACCAAATCTCAACACTCCTTTTATTGAGAGTGACACGCGGACAAACTCCTTTGGCATTAAAGAGAGTATATCAAGCTGTACTTTAAGTAATTATGATGTTAGTTCGATAATTACAAGCATGAAAACTGATTCCGACAGCACAGGGAAGTTTAAAGAACCGATATCAAATTTAATCACAGGCAAACGGAAGGCGAATCTAAAAACGCATCGAGGAAGATACATACTCGGTAGACAGAATAGCAATGCTGATAGTAAAATGAAAGAGACTATTGCAGAAATTCGCCAAAGTATACACGCGATTAATCAAAATAATGATGAAATCCATCAAGAAAGGAAAGATTCAAAGTTGATTGAAATGTTGACAGATATTAGGGATAGCCTGATCGCAATGCCCAATGAAGGCTCATCTGCAATCACAAATAATGAGGTAAAGAATGCCGTTGACGATATTCGAAAGAGTATCTCTATGCTTCGAAATCCAGGGGCTTCAAATAGTAGATTATCTGGAGCCAATGAAATAAAAAAATTTGGTAAGGCTAGGTCATCAGGAATCAACCTAAATCAAAATGATGACGTTATGGACGCCATATTGGAAATTCATGAAGGAGTTAAAGATCTGGAAGATAATATTCCAACTCAAGACCCCAATGAAGCAAGATATATCTATGGTGTAGTAAGTGATATTCGTAAAAGCCTGAAATTAATCACTGATGGAGATGCAAATACAATTTCGTCTAATATTTACCTTGGAAAATCATCTAATCCCATGCTTAATAGTGTAAATGAATTAATTAAAACATTGGCTAAGATAACCCAACAGCTAGAGTTGATATATAAAAGGAAAATTGAAAATGAATCAGAAAGGAAAATGAAAGACGAGGTATCTATCGATTGCATTAACGAAAAATTGGATACTTATATTAATAATAAAAAGAATGAAGCTGCAAGGCCTTATCAGTTTGTTCTGCCTCCATTTGTTCCACCTCCTGTGTATATAGCGCCGTATTGTCGATTTTCGTTGCCTTCTCACTTGTCAGCACATCCTCAAATACCTCCTTCAAGCGGTCAACTATCTCTGTCTGGGTTAAAACGGGAACCCTCCTTTTATGCTCAATTTCCCGGCACTCAAAATAAGAATTACGGGAGAAATTTCCCCTCGACTTTTTCTCTTAGTTTTGTTGGAAACGAAGATCGAAATGGAAAATTTGATTATTCACCAAATGGTGCTAAACATATTTTCCTTTGCAATGAACTTTAATTCTTAACTCTATTTATTTATTAGCATTCGTGAATTTTAAAAGAAATCTCCTATTCATGCAATATGTCTTATTTTACTTCTTCCCCTCTTCGGGCTAAAGTATCTTTAAGTTAAATATTTCAACAGAATATCTCTTTGTATATAGTGTTAAATTTCTGAAACTTCTTATGTCCTAAAACACCTCGCTCTTTAACTATTGGGCTGTTTGTTACAACTAAGGGAAAGGGAGAAATATCAATTTTCAAGATCATCATTTTTTTTTCAGAGAAACTTTGATCAGACTCACTTGAGGCTGACAATTTAGAGTTTCTGGAACAAGTGTTTACTAAATTAAGAACTCACAATGTCTATAACAGTTGGTGTTATAATTTTTCAGAATTTCTTGTCAGAAATCGATCTATAATAATATTAATTAGTACTGCATGCGAAATTTTCTAATTATGGTAATTGATTGAGTTAATTATGATAATGGTTTACGCATAATCCAAGAGTGTATTCAATGCTAATATCACCGAGAAATTAAAGGTTCATTTTGAAACTTTTTTGTCTGCAGGGTGGAAGTACTTGTCAGGATGGCTAAGATGTTTGCTATGAGTATAGTACTGGTTGGACGCTAATTTCATCTGGTTTGCTCAATTTTCAGTACCTGATTTGTAAGGAGTCAAAATTTTTTCGCCAAATAAGTATTGCTTTCAACTCTAAACTAGGATGTACACAGAATTACTTGTTTAATAGAAGGCTCTGGAATCCTAAACAACGTAACTCGAGTAGATAAATTCAGTCTCATAGTATAGAGACGCTAAAATTTAGAACATAGTTTAGGTTGGATAAATATTTAAATAAGCCATAACAGTTAGACTGGTCTTCATAAAGATAGTGTAGTTATTCCAAAATAAAAGACAAAAGATGGGATATTTTCCCTAAAGGGGGTTTGGCTTTGTCTATATATTAGGTCGCATTATTTTTAAAAGTGTAATTGATGTTGATGAGTGAATAGATAACAACGTTAAGTGGTTTTACTAAATCCAATAGGATTGGAGGAACTATTACTTGGATTGTTGATATTTTTCAGTGTATATGGAATAGTTGAATTAGGACTGAATGCTAGCTAATTATCAAAAGTAAAATTGGAGGGTTAAAATGGTAGCTTGGTAGATGCTACTTGAGAAAAATTACAGTTACCAAATCGGAAATGGATCATACATTTGAATAGGCTGTGCAAGCATAACTATAATTCCCACTGTAATGTTAAAGAATTCAGTTAAAAATTTTGCCACAAAGTTATCTAGCACTCCGACTCTCTGTTATTGAGCCTAGCTATTTGAAGCGGTTATACATGGATTTATACTCCATGACAGAACTTAAAATGCTTAAAGGCCTCTCTACTTCAGAAGGATTCATTGCTTAATGTGGCGAAAGTTGATAAAAGAGAAATATATTCAATTTAATGAGTAAGTATTTAGAATAGTAAAAATGTGATGAATGGAACCAAGAAAATCATACTTCCTCTGTTCTTCTTCCCTGTCAAGTTGGTAGCTTTTTCATGCACCATTGTATCATTATATATTTGCCCGGAGTAGGGCTAATCATTTGAAGTTTCAAAGACCCCAAAATTCGGAATTTCCAATCCTCACTTAGTGTATAGAAAAAAAAGAAATTTTAATTGAAATAGTGCACTGGAGAGTAATGCGTTCTTTAAATCTCAATTCATCTATTTCAATCGAATCTTTCACATAATGCTTTTGAAGGTAATTGGAAAGCATAGATACATAAAATGTAAATGATTTAGAATTCCTACTTCATTCTTATGAGAAAGTTGCTATTTGCAACACCAACAAGTTGACCAATCAGATCATTGGAATTATGAGGGGAGTAAAAATGCACATAACAAGACAGCTACAAAAGTCTTCAGTTCAAGTAGAAGAGAGCTGGATAATAATCCGTAATATAATTAAATTAGGTAAACCTGACCAATGAATACCTGCGAAGACGATCAGTATCGACATCATTTGTGACCGAATCAATGAATCTAACCTCAGGCCACTTTTAATACGAATTACAGAAGCTTATATATGCTATTTCTCGGGTGGGTCCAGGAAAACTGAAATCGACGTAAAATTATGAAACTCTAGTTTGAGAGTATACAAGATCCCAATGATGAGTGTAACCTCGGAAGCATTTTGTGCAAGCACTTCTGGCACTATTCTATTAGGAGGTAAATAGGTTTACTGTGAAAGATTTCCTCCGATTCTTTCTATCCGTCATTTAATGGAGCCAACTGCTTAAGAATATGGGACTGATTGATGAACGGATGCTGTAGGTTCGGAGTCAAGTCGGGCAGATGCGACTTTGAGTATAATGGATATCGTGGGGTTCGGAAGCCTCATTACTTTTAAACTATCTCTGACTAGTAGGTACAATTTCATGCCATTGTTAGCCGTGTGGACTAGTTACAGTAGCAGCCACTTTAGCAGAGATAGGTGTCACAGGTGATTGAGTAGAATTTTGAGGAGGACAAGAAGATACGGTGGTTTGGATAGGCTCGAAGCAACGGAGGTCACGTTTTACTCAAACCTTTGCAGAAGGGGTACTTCATTTCATCGGAAAGATGGAAAAAATTTAACATAGATTTGAGCCATCCACTATGTGTTGAAGAACCAATTACCTTTTCCATTCCACATTGTGAAATAGTCAGAGGTGGTGAATAAAGTATGCTGGGCACCACTAGAAACTAGTTTGCCTCAAAAATAGTTACCAAACTCCGGAACTCAACAATGGTATGTGGATCTAAATTACTCAGGACAATGACTTCCAAGTTGGTGCATTTTAACAAATATACAATCCCTGTGAATAAGTAACCATAAATTGGCAACTTGTCAATTTTTCCGCTATATTTGTTCATTTTCATATTCAAATAAAGTGTTGCGTTACTTTAATAATCTCGAAATGTCACATAGGCGAAAGCCATACACAGCTCAGTCCTATTATTAAAATATCTTCACTTAATATATTTCAATATTAAATATTTAGTTCGAATAAAGAATTCTTGAAAATAATTTTGAATGAAAATCGAATTTGTAGGTTTGCATGACAGGAAGTTTCGCAGACTGCAGTGACATTGGACTTATCCGATCAAATTGTTTGGAATTTCTGCGGTTTATCTTTTGACCAGCAGAAAATGGTGTTTTTTGTGTCCATTCCATTCTGACTAGTGCTTTCATTAATCTTCAGTCTACCATACCTAACTTTGTAGGATTGAGTTGAATTCGTATTGGTCACCCGGAAACCGACATGAGGATATGGGCTACATATTTTTCCGAACTTCATTGAGAAAACGAATGAGAATTTTCGTATCAGCCTTGGTCGAGTTGTTAATATCACAAGAAAATTGAAAGCAAAATGAGCTGCGTTAAATCAAAATGTTGAGATTTGTATACTCGGACGACAGAAAATTCCATAAAATTGTATTTTTCTTAACTCAGTCAAAATGAAATATGAAATATATACATTAGAAATTCAAAGGACCATATCAAGTTAAATTTTACTTTTCCGAATTATTGATAATTATGGTACACACTTTTCGATAAAGAACTAGCTCTATGCTTATGTGAATTTCACAAATCGACTGACATTTAATCTATCTTAAATCTTTCCGGTTCACTAAAAACAAACTAATTATTTAAAGAAAAATAATGATATATTTTATTTATAACACATTTTGGGATAGATTGATGTTGAGTTTAAAGAAACATTTAATATAAATCTTCAAGGTTTAAAAAAAGTCAATTTTAAACCATCATTCTTAGCGCACTGTGAGGAAGGGCTTTTGCCGCGTGGAACGTGACATTTTAGTCACGAATAATCAGTTGTCTAATTGGTCAATCAGTAAGTGGGTGCAACACCAGTTTCATGGAATTCCCCCTTGAAATCGTTCTAACATAATTTGTTTTAATATAAAATTTGAAAGCCGCATTTTGACTGCTGAAATTTTTTGCGTCAATTGGCTTTAGCGAAACTTCTGCATAATGAGAAATATCATTTTGTTACCCATGTTAATGCCTAAACTACTTCTGAAAAACTGGTTTACAAACGAATCCAGTAAGGTATTATGGGTGCGGCTGGAGTTGTGAAGGAGTGGTTAATGAAGCAGGAAGCTCGCTCTATTTAATTTCTGGACACATGAGCATAAGAATTACAATTCACTGTGCATTTACTAAGATTTGAAGTTTATGATCTGCCTCACCACTTCATTTGAAAGATATTTTTTTCGATATTCTGTACCATTTTGATGTCTGGTTTATTTTCGCAGTTGGTTATGCTATCTTCAATTTTTTGTAACTTCTAACCTTTATCCTGCGTAGCTTAAAACATCTTTCCAATCTCTTATTCTATTCAGAAGAAGGAGTGCGATAGACATATCTCCACGTGATGCACTCTGGGTCTATTAACCGGCAGTTGACTTCTGACTTTAAATAACCATGGCCCACTGTATGTCATATTTGACCCCTTCTACAGTACTGATCTTACCTTTTCTCTGCCTCTGTGTCTGTCGGTCTCCTTTACATCTATGAATTATTCTTCTGTTCCCCGATTTATAGACTATTTTGCTGTATGAGTATACGTTGCCCAGGGTACATCACGTGGAGATAAGTTCATCGCGCACCTCACACCACTTGGAATTGAGGTGGCCAAAAATGTTTAAGAACAACATTTTGTCACATCCAATAAAAAACATTCCATCCGAAATTTAACCAAAACTTCTTTTCTGTGGTCATTTGAACAGTTGAGATTAATGAATGCTTATCACCGGGACCTCTTTTATTTCGGCCACCTGGTCCAACTACAAAGTCAACTAAAGCTCTAATAATGAGTATCATAAAGCCCACCATTTGAAATAAATAAACATTCCATTCAGAAACGAAAAATTCCTACAGAAACTTCATTTTCAGAAATGCTGACAAATGCATTCACCAACATATAAGGACTACGAGAAAAATATTCCGATTTAAAAATTTCAGTTTAGTGGCAATTATCTTTGGTCATGGAACATTCCACGATGCTTAATGTATAAGCACACTTATTTTTTATTTCTTTTAAGTATGCAACTTATTCTTTTAAACTCGACATCTCTCTTTCCAGGGATACTTAATTCTAGGAAATCTTCATTTTCTTTCGGTGTGGGTACCGCCTAATATTAGCCACGTTCAATTTATTAACGATAAATATATATATTTTGGCCAGAAAGATATTTTAACATCCCGTGTGCCAGTGCACATGCAACAACATAAAATCGATAGCACATCAGCACACACGAAATCGGCCAACTGCAATTCGCCATGCGCTTACCTTCAGACACACGTGCATTTAACACCGCACCGATTATTTTGCCTAACTTTCTGAAATCAGATTCATATTTGTGGCGAGTTGCATAATTCTATTGTTTAAATGGAAGCGTAATGTCATTACAAATAGTATTCCAAAGCAGATTTTTAATGTCCGTATTTATTAATGTAAAATGAATGATTCTAACTGGCATCTTTCTATCACATTAGAGGAACGAACCAAAAAATAGAAATCTAGGCTAACCATTAAAAAGGTTTGAAAGTAGTGATGGGGATAAAGTCCATAACATAGGCTCTAGATAACAAAGGAAATCGATAAACTACGTAAAATTTCTGTAAAGTAAACAATAAGCTGGATAAATGTCAGTGACTAAACTTCATTGAGGAATGAAGTCATCAAGGCCTCTTTTTTATTGGCAGATATTAAAGAGTAATAAATGCCAATGGATAAATTACATCCTTTCAGAAAATTTTATCAGTTCATCACAACTAATATCAACTACCAGAGGCTAATAAGCGTATTTAAATTTATATAGTTACAATTGCTACAAAACTAACTTCACTCAAATACCGGCCTATTGCATTAGAAACTAGATCTTTCTGTAATGTAATCAACGGCTTAATCCTTGTTATATCTTTTAAACGTCAAATCTTGCCATATGTAACCGCATCTCCCAAATAAAATACCAACAGTTTAACCGCATCTCAAGGTTAGATTCATCTCATGAGCGGGGCAGTTTTATTCTACGAGCTGAAAAGCACTTGCACTATAATTTTGCCAGGCTGGAAGTTCTTATAGAGCCTTATAAAATAATTTTGCATTTATAAATGAATGTATGGTTGCATCTAATGCCAACTAATAGATTAGCAACGTATGTTTCAAACAAATTGGAGATGATTTCAGTTAAATGTGTAAGGAAAATTATCAAAACATTTAATATAGTAAAAACTATGTGTGCCAGAAAAAGTAAAAAAGCAATTTTTAATTTGATGAATAAATTGAAAACTTCATTTATAATAAACGCTTAAGGCTTTTGTGCTTAATCTAATTTAATTGTATTAAAGGAATATTAAAGTGGTTACTGGCTACCGAAATCCAGAAGTAGATGGAGAACACCTTTTAACTCCACTTAAAATTTATTTCTATCAAATGGCAGGCTACGTAATAGTTATCATCAGTCCTCTAGTTAACTTCGGGTCTCACTGAGGGGAAGAACATCAAAGTCACGAAAAGTCCAGAGAGGGAACAGAAGAATGATTCGCAGATGTAAGAGACAGAAACGAAGGTAGATAAGAAGATAAGGCGAGTACTCTGGAAGTGATCGAATAGAGCAAACAGTCGAGCCATGATAGTTTGAAGTCAATTGCTGATTTATAGACTATTTTGCTGTATGAGTATACGTTGCCCAGGGTACATCACGTGGAGATAAGTCCATCGCGCACCTCACACCACTTGGAATTGAGGTGGCCAAAAATTTTTAAGAACAACATTTTGTCACATCCACTAAAAATCTTCCCATTTGAACAGTTGAGATTAATGAGTGCTTATCACCGAAACGGTCCTCTGCATTTACTAATTTTGAATAGAGACATGACATTATTATTCACTTTTTTGTATCTACTCGGGACCTCTTTTATTTCGCCCACCTGGTCCAACCACAAAGAAGGAAGTTGTCTTAGCAACGAAGTAGTCACAAAAAATGACAGAAGCCAAATAAAGTTAAAAAGCTTGCTTTCATAGGTAAATTAATTTTTAACTATGCTTTTAATAATTACTACTTTTTATCAAGGAAATTTCTACCTGTCTGAATAAAAATATCAAATGATTAAGACAGTTTGACTGCTACCGTTAATTTAACTCTGTTTAAGCAAATGCGTATTGTTTTTGATGGGGGTGGACAATAGACTTACCTCCACGTGGTACACCCTGCGCAACGTATACTCATAAGGCAAAAATGTCTATCAATCGGTAGTTGACTTCTGACTTCAAACTACCATGACCCCACTGTATGTCATATTCAACCACTTTCACAGTACTCACCTCACCATTGAAATACTCTTCTGTTCCTCCCCCCCCCCCTCTCGACTTTTTTCACTTTGATGTTCCTCCCCTTCTGTGAAGCCTGAAGTCAACTAAAGGGCTAATAATAACTATCAAAACGCCTGCCATTTGTTATAAATAAATTATTTTTTATGACATAGCTCGGGAAGATGATCTACGAAGTTGTCTTAACTTTATGTAAAATGTGCTTTGGTGTCGGGGAAAGATGCATTAATGTAGCATTTTTCTCTCTTGTCTTAACTTCATTCCTTGAAGTCACACGAACGTGATTGTGGCCTTTGGTTCTCCTGACAGTAGTTTCAAGAAAAAAATTCCGAGAAAATTACCAGGAAACAATCGGACAAGATTTCTTCAGTAAGTTCAACTTAACCGTTACCAAATAAACCTTATCATTACCATGCTAACATAGGACTGAAATGAAATGCACTTTATAGTTATAATTCATATAAAATAATTTTCCTTTAAACCAGTGGCTCCAACTGACAATTTCTGTCCAATCGGAATAGGCAGAAATTGAAAATGTGGGCAGTGTGCACGCACCCAACTAAACGATCGATAGATGCACACGATTTGGCCATGCGCAGAAACTAGAACACTGACCAATCCCACAGCGCACAGCCCATCGATTCAGCCGCAAAGCCAGTGGGTGCAAAAGGGGCAAAGAGTGTGTGGGAGTTGTTTCCCGTCCAGCAGATTGTACGTACTTTCACAGTTCAGCAAACCAAACCCTTCCCGAACTGCTACTACCTATCCTTTTCAACTAACAAAGCTGTTATAATGGAGGCGATTAAGAAAAAGATGCTTGCAATGAAGTTAGATAAAGAAAATGCCATTGATCTGTAAGCTTACATTTACTTCCTTTAACCAGAAATTTTTAGTCTTGAAATCAATTTTTGATTTAATTAGTGAAAATGTCTTAGGTAGTCGTATTTTATCTATTTTCACATGATCTTTGTAACTAAATCCTAACAATCTTTCAAATCGGTTTAAAGTTCTATTAAAATCCATAGATTTTTATCATAACCATTAGAAAAGATCATCTAAACTGTTCAACGTGAAAAATCAGTTGAAGTGATCTTATTCAATTGATTCCACCTCTTATTCCCATTACACGTTCCCACCTTTAATTATCAATATATCAAATGGACTCGATTCTTAGAGCTAAATAAATTCGCTTTGAACCAACAATAATTGATTGATTTAGCATAAAACCCGTTGAACTGAACATTTCACTTCATTCTATATTTTGATTATCTATATTTCAGTATTTTTGAAAGTTATAAATATTTGATTTATTTAATTTTGACGAGCTTTATTATCTAGAACTTCCGTTTGGTAAAAATACAGAATTTAATTAAATCAAATAAATGAATGGTTTTTAAGAAGTAGCTCAAAAAATGAAATGGGTTTTCCTTCGGTTTCTGAGAGAGAAGAAGGAACATGGTCTCAGTTCGACATCTCCTACTAATGCTGTGTGGACACTTCCCCTTCAAATGTTAAGACAAAACTACTACCCGAAACATTTCAGTAGCAACAGCAAAACAATTTCACTGTTTTTAAATAATTTAAATTATGGATTTAATAAGTGCAATCACATTGCTCATTATTCAAATGCTATCATTTGATATCTAAATATCGTGAAACGTTTTGACCTGTGATATAAGTTCAGAAGTAGTACGACTTTTTGTGTCACTCACTTGATTGTTTAAATTTAAATTCATATGTCATCATCCCAAAGACAGTTCTTTAAGTGCAGTATTGCAAATTATTTAATGATAAGATAGTTTAAAATCATTTTCTTCTCTAAAGGGCCGATCAACTGGAGGAACAGATGAAAGAAAAGGAAATGGAAATGTCCAAGAAGGAAGAAGAAATGGCCGATGTTGTCAAGCGCTACCAAAGTCTCGAGGCTGAGAAAGAAGCTGCTGAATCGCAACTAACGGAGACTAATCAAAAACTTGAAGACACCGAGAAACGAGCACAAGAGGTGAGTTAATTCATTATTTATAGTAAGTGAATGGGAAGTTGGTTATAATTAAATGAATAGGAGGGATGGGGGTCAAAAACAAGACGACAAAAATGGTAGTCAATTGAAAATCTGTTCCCATCCCTCCTTTCTATTTCGCGGTGCAGCACAGAAGGTACTCATCTACTTCGGTGTCCAGTCGCCCAAGACGTGGTGTTCACAGAACTTATAATTCACCACGGCTAGCACAAGTGTCCATACCACCACAAATAAACCCGCAAAGCCAGCACTGCTATCAATATTATCATCATCAACGGGATTCCCACAGATGGCACAACAATCAGAAATCCAACGATAGTCTTCCACTCAGAATGTCATCTTCTTTTATCGACTTTTCTTCTAGCTCATCTTCATCAGTATATCAGTCTTCTACCCCCCAGCAACTTCGAAGACAGAGAAGAAGCAGAAATAGACGTGGTTTTAAAAATAAACAGCGGCCAGTTAATTATGGCTGTGAATGTACATGTCAACATTGTGGAAAGCCTACAACTCCTACTGATGTTATGTTTATTAGCATGTATGATTTCAATACTCTTGGCTCTCGTCCAGAACCAGAAGGATGTGCAGCCAATCCCATACATCAAGAGGAGCATGTCAGACCAACAAAGAAAAGTTATGTTCCCTACTCTGTCGACGAACCACTTTTTTCTGATTATGGTGATAAAAGTGATAGTGATGATGATTACGTCATTGCTCGAAAGAAGCAGTCTATCAAAGACCAGAAAACAGCATTTGCCGAGGCATATTGCGCGTCAAAATTAAATTCCGGGACACTTATTCAGTTGGCAATTATCGAAGCGGAGTTAAAGAATCTTGTTCATTCGTCACTGGATAAGGTAAAATAAATCTGGAGCATAAGCAGCTCGTCAAAAACCATCTATGAAAATAATTCCTGAAAAATCTTAATTATATACTTTAAATCATTTTAAATTGATTAAACAAGTATCAAAATGACCAGGACATATAACCTACACAATTTTAAGTTACATTTCCCTGTGAACTTTTTTTATTAGATACTCATACTAGAAGCATGTAAAATTGACGACATTGTAAATAAATAGTTATAAATATTTTTGATTCGGATAAATTAATTTTAATTTTCTAATGTATTTCTATACTTATTTACTTCTGGAATAAATTACAACTTGTTTATAACTGTAGCGGGCGTATTGGGCTACTGGGTTATTGATAATTTGCCTAAATCGAGGATGTCATCGGTCTCTGCTGATTCACTTCTGGAAACTCTTAAGAAAAAACTTTTGCAGTTCAAAACAAATGTTAATGCTCTTAATTTAGAATATGAACGTAAACAGGAGCTCTTGAAAGAAGAACGAGATAAACGCGATAAGGTTTTATATCTTTTGACGTAATTGTTATTGCCAGTACAATCTAGCTAGTTAATATTTTATTTTACTTTTAGGCTGAGGCTGAAGTAGCTGCTCTTCAGAGGCGCATTCGACTTCTTGAGGATGATCTCGAGACCACCGAGAGTCGTCTTAACGACGCTACTATTAAGCTAGAGGAAGCTAGCAAAGCCGCTGATGAGAGTGAACGGTGGGTTATTACCTCTTTTCATATCTATTTTTGATGCATTTTGCATGTTTCTCTGCATGTGTTTGCATTTTGCGCTATTCCAGTTTTCGACGTGCCTTGCAATCACGTCAGGTCACTGACGATAGTCGCATTGAAGAGTTGCAACAACGCATCCAGAAAACTGCCAAAGAGGCTACTGAAGCTGAACGTAAATATCAAGAGGTACTTTATGACACCATATTAACTTTTTCTTTTTTATTCTTAATTCGAGTATAGTGGCTGCAAAGTGCTCGAGAACCGAACTGTTGCTGATGAGGAGCGTATCTCATCTTTGCAGGAACAGCTCAAAGAATTCACCTTCATGGCTGAGGATGCTGACAGAAAATATGATGAGGTAGATAGGGCCTGATTTCGCTACATGTATATTCACACGTTCAAGACGTGTTAATAATCCTTTACTAATTTTGGGCGTTGCGTTTAGTCGTCCCTTAAACTTGCCATGTCTGAAGTCGATTTGGAGCGCGCGGAATCAAGACTTGAGGCTGCAGAAAGGTTACTCATGATATGCAAATTATACAGCCACTTTGCTTGACTTGTCATTTTCATGCCTTTTGCTACAGAAATACGCATGTGCATGTGTCTTTATTTGTTTTTATTTCCCATTGAATCGTGTCCAGGCTACCCAGAAATTGGCTACAGCTGAGGATGCCCTTTCGACAGCTGAAAAACGTGTCGAAGCTGCTGAGGAGTAAGTGTTTTATTTTCTCGGTGATTATTTACTCTATTTCAATGCTATTAATGATTAGTCGTTTTTCTCTTAGGCGAATCCGGTCTATGGAACATGCTTTGCGCGCAATTACAACTAATCTGAAGACCATGGAACTCAGTGAATCCACGGTCAGTTTTCTTTGGATACCTGTCTTGTCTCTCAATTCATGAATAGGCCGATTACCAGTTTCATTTTGTTTTAGCTACTGGGATCTATTTGATAGCATGGCATGAGGAAATTTAGCTTGCAAGCACGATAGAATTATATCATTTAATATTGATAAATAATTAATTAGTGGTTTGATTGGCAATGCAGGAAAATTTTGGACCTTGAGGATGAACTTCGTATTGTTGGTAACAACATGAAGTCCCTTGAAATCTCCGAGCAGGAGGTATATTGTAGTAATTTAATTTGAGAATGACCTTGGGTTTACTTAATGGGTGTACTAATCAGCATTGCGTGTGAACTACAGGCCGCCCAAAGAGAAGAGGCCTATGAGGAGAATATTCGTGATCTTACTGAGCGACTCAAGGCTGTAAGAAGTTTCGCATCTCCCACTAACGCATGTTTTTTTTACTTTTATCGTTTATCCCTCCTGCTGCATGTTGTCCGTGATTTGCTTGATTCTCGAACTCAATCAGGCTTCGAAACAAAAGCAAACCTATCAGGCTACTCTTGAGAAGTTGACTAAGCAACTGGCGGAGGTATGTGGATATCTATTAATGCTCTAAGGGTATGCTTGTTTGAAAGTTTGATTAGGAATACTTGGGGTATCTGGACGCTCATATTGTTGATCCTGTAAATCGGGAAGTGGCTTTGTTTGGAACTTTAGCTTTATGTTTTTGATCGACTTACAGATGCTAAAGAGGTTTTCTAAATTTGATATCCACTCATCTGTGTACAGTTAAAACGTGTAATTTATGTTGTCGTTGGAGTTTTTAGGTAACGTTATGTTTTTTTGGGTTAAATATAAAACATTGTTCTCCGTAGGTAATGCTTTTTTGAAATTTTTCAAGTTTCTTACGAGCATTATTTTTATATCCCTGTGATTAACTCCAAGTTTGTGGAAATCGAAGAGAGATATACAACTTTAGATGTTCTAATGTTAAATTGTTAGCGAAAATGATGTGTAGGACGTAGTCTTATCATAAAGTAATAATTGTTATACATTCAATATTCTGGAAAATTGCAGAATGGCCAATGCTGAAAAGCATATTGGTGGCAGTAATTATGAGTAGCACCGTTAATATATTGATTTTTCTTATAATAAATGGTTAATGCTTCAGTTGGCAGATAATTATAGTAAAGATTTCAAGCATGTGCTGATTTGTTGGAGGTCCTCTATGCATGAAGGATCGCTTCTCTTGCTGCATGTTCTGGTATCATGCACCTGGATCCAACAAGTTCCTAGGATGTTTCTCTAAGTTCAGTTATTTGTATAGGCTGATGACCGTGCACAAGATGCCGAACGCCTTGTCCATACTCTTCAAGTCGAAGTAGACCGCCTGGAGGGTAAGCACAGTGTGTGGAGTAGGGCATGGGTCTGCTCACGATAATTCCTAATCCTAAATTAGTTGACTGATGGTGGTTACAAGTTTGTGTGCATGTATCCATTATATTGCATGTTTCTTTTCCCTCAAACCAACCACAACCAATTAAGGCTGAGAAGCGCACCGAACGAGCCGAGGAGGAGATGGCCAGAAGACAAGAAGAACTGATACGTCTTGAAGGTATGAAATGCTCGAAAATGTCTTATTTCTGCTTAATAATGCACCTAGTTCCTCCTATTTAACTTCAAAATAAGTGAGAATTTGTCGACTCAAAGTTCAAAGTTTAGGTGTGATATAAATAAAAATTCGGTTCATATTGTAAGCGAATTTTGATTTTTTCTTGATAGCTGAATTGGATGCGGAGAAGACACTAAATGCAAGTCTTCGCGAGGATATGGAAAACATTGTGGCGGAACTGCAGAATCTCTAAAGTGGCGTCTTGCCACGTATTCCCTAATTTCTTTGATTTCCGGTTTTTTCGTCTATCCAACGCGCTTCCCAGTTTTTTCGTTTGCTTGGAAAATTTACAATCGCATGTGTCCTTGTTTATTTTTCCCCTTGTTTTCTTCGAAATTCACCCCCTCCCATCACACACTGTCCCCTGTTTTGATAATTAGTATCGATAATGAAGAGATTTGAATTGGCATGAGCATGGCCTTGTTTGAAAATAGATAGTAGTAGTGGGAATGGCTTTTGCATGAACTTGTAACTATTAGGTCTAATTGGGTTCTCTTTATACGAACAGACGATCTGGTTAACGAGAAGGAGAGGTACAAGACTCTTGCAGAGGAATTGGAGCAAACTTTCGCAGAACTTACTGGGAACTAGGTGTTGGCAACATTTCAATTTTCATCTGCTCGCCACCCCCCCTTTATTCATTTAGCAGATTTGATTTTCGATTACTTATCTTCTCAATTCTAATTTATCAATCTCTTTCCTCTTGTTGGCTTTCTCTGTTTCCTTTTTCGACGAGTCATATTTCGTCACTGTGAATTTATGAATCACTAAAACGAATTATTCCGTAGCATTATGCCTTTTCTTTTATTGTTTACGATAGAGTTGTGTAGCATAGTGCGAATGTTATTAAATTAGTACTGCGAATTGACCCACAAATTAAGTTAAATCACGTTGCTGTTTGCAAGGCAATTAAAGCCTGGAAAGGCCACTTGCTCAGGTAGAATTAGTTTGCTTTATCCTTTCGCTCGACCTGGCGATCCAAATGCAAGTTAACACTCATGATCCGAATTTTTCTGGAAAGGCGAGAACTTATTTAGGCTAAATTAAGGCAACTTAGTAGATAATAAAATAAATTTGTACCTCCACATGACTAAGGCCACACAAATTGTGGGCATTGGAGCGAGTCTAGCCTTAGCACAGTCCCGTCAGAGTATCCCATATTTCAACCAACTTATGAAAAAATCAGAATAGTTCCATGATTTCAATAAGGTTTGATTTCTTTTTCATTAATTTGAAATCACAAGTACCATAAAGAAATGTTTCGCTAAGGAGGGAGGAAGTCACATTTAATGGAAATTAATAAATAAGCAAGCCGAAGAAACTGGATAATAATTGTGAAGCGTGATTACACTTGTTTAAAATTTGTAGGTTAACATTCTACTGAGAATAACATAAGTAGTAGACTCGTGTGAAATACAAATAAATAGAAACAGAGAAGTAGGAATGATGAAGAGAAGAGCTGAAAAGCGAGGAAAGCTGCAACTAAACGAGGTTGTCATCTTCCAATTTGGATAGGAAAGATGCAACGCGAAAATCGGGTTCCATCTAAAAAACAAAAGGAAATACCTAGAAAATCGGCATAATACTCTGGAGCATGGCAAAACTTATAGCTGACCTGTGTAATGAGATCCAATAGATCAATAAGATGCTTGATCCCGACACAGAGATTGAAAGTGGGGTCGTTTTGTCTGTAAAAAAGGAAATAAATGATAAAACAGCTTTCGCAAAGTCAAATAAACATTAGCCCAGAGAAAACCACTTAAAAGGGAATATAGTCTCAAGACCTAGAAGTAAGGTCTTAAATGAAATGTGCATAATAAACTTTTGAACTGATTGGCGGCGGATTCTTAACCACAAGGAGCAAACTCAAGCCAAGTCCGAGGTCGCAAAGCATTATTAACTGAGATTAACAACTGCCCTCATCTTAGGGAATAAGCAGATGGTCAGTTTCCAATCGCAAACGAAAAGCTATCTCTATCGAGATTACAATCAAAAGGAAATACTGATAATCAATTCTATATCTAATTAGCCATCCAACAAATTATTACCCGCGGCAAGCTAATGACTCAAATTAACCAGCACTTACTTTCGATGAATGAGGTTCTGTTCGATAGCACGAACTTCTTGTGTTGTCAAGCGCTGATCCATTTCCAGAGCAGCCACGATATGTGCAGGAGTTGACATCATTGCAACGTGGAGATGCCAAGAGAAGGATCTGGTCAACTGTTGGTCTTCCATCGCCTCTCGAGCACTTGTTGTGGCAAGTACCAACATCTTTCGACCCTAGGCCACACAAACAATAAGCTAGGTAAAAATAGGATGAAGGGGGAATGCAAGAAATCAGCGAATAGCACTTTATCAAATGATGAAAGATATGCACTCAAGAGGCCTATTCAATAAGTTAATTAGATATGGATAAAAGTTAGCAACCATATAATTAGTAACATGTAATTTCTTAAATCAATGTGAGTTTTGCTAATTGCAAGGAATTAATAATTAATTTATTAAATCGCGACATAAGCTATTCATTTATGGCACTTGTTTAATAGCATTGAGGGCTTTTGCACAAACAGCACTGTATTGCCACGTGGCATGGGGATTACTGCTGTCAATATGAGTGAATGATCACAGTAGGCAAGTGCAATAAAAGTGAAATTAGGTAACTAGATGTGCATCAGATAGCCCTATGGGAAAAATACTTTCGAGGAGCTTGAAGATTCATTTAATTTATGCACAGCTGATGCAAACATTAAATGAATTCAGTTAGAATAAGGGTAATTTATTTAGCCCTCAGAGAAAGGATGGGTAAATGAATATAGCTAACATATGAGAGATGAACAAGGACTTACAGCTGGGAGGGGTTGAGAGAGGAGATCTTTGATGGCCTGAACCATATAATTAGAGTAGCGCGGACCTACGGGATTGTACTCAATCAAGCCCTCCAGATTGTCTACAATCACAACACTCATTGGCGACTTGGCTGCATCATCAAATATCTGGCGAAAGAAAGGAAATAATAAAAATAAAATAAACTGCGACATTAAAATCATCTCAAATTAAAAGTAACATCCAATCCTATTCAATGCCTCACAGAGCTCAAAGCCTCTCAACATTAAAATGAAAGATGGAATAGCCATAAAGCGTAACTGGCACTCAATCGACACAAAAGTACATTATAACACAAATATGACAAATAATTAAGCAACATTTCCACTCTCTCTCTCTCTCTCCCTCATTGGTGATAGGAGACAAAACATTCCCCAATTGCCTGAACGAGCATGCACAAACAAAGATTAGACCCCACTACTACCATTACTATGATCATCTACCTCTTCTTGGCGGTAAAAAAGTTTAAATACGTCGAGGTGGTATGACTAGCCGCGGAAATAAACCAGCAGGCACACAAATTCTAAATGTTATGGGAACCCTCTCAATCGTACACCCGAGAGTTAAATATATTTAAACATTGCAAAATAATCTCTACTTCTAGTGAAGACAATAATAAATTTTTCAACTCTCCTCTATTCATAGCAAGTTGGTCTGGATTACGGCTTCTCTCATGCAGATATTCTCCCAAGATTGAAACGTAAACTCCATTTGGCACTGTCATGAGAAATAACAATAGAGGTCCTACAAAATCCCTTCCATGGAAAAAGCATGGCTTCTATTTTTCCTCAAGAATGCTAAAGCATACACTTACTTAATTAATTTGAAATTGTGTACTACTATCTCCACTGTCTTAGAGGAAAGAAATGTACTCACCCATTATTTCTTAACTGATACTGGACACAATTTTTTTCAGATAGGCTGAAAAACTGGTACATTTAAGGCATACAAAGTGTACCGCGGATATAGACCTCTAATTGGACATAGCGTGCTGATGCTATTGCATTCAAACGGGGAAATGGGAAAAGGGGAATTTTCATGCAGGAAGGGGACGGTGAGGTGAGAACTAGGAATGCTCAACTACGATTGGTCATGAGGGATTGATTCTAAGTTAGCATTGCCTGATTGCCGCCGTTGCTGCGAGCTAAATCTGAGTTTGCTTCTTCTGCCAGATGGACAAACGAACCTTACAACGCACTTCTGCAACGGAAAGCAAAAAATCCCTAAAAACAACTGTGGCCTTCTACTAATAAGATCTTAACAAGGTGAGACAAGTTGGTCAAATTGTGTAAAGGAGGTGAACCAAGGCAATGAAAACGATTATACAAATAAATCCGAATTTGACTAATCTTACAGCATCTAATATATTAAAAATAAATCTAATCAGAGCAAAAATAATTACTTAGATCCAGGATATTTAAGAATTTAAGTCTTTAACATAATATGATATGAAGTATTTATCACAGCAAACGAGAAGAGAAAGAACATTTAGACTATTGGATTAGCTGATGAAATCGGATTTTGACGAAAATGGCGATTCACGGCCATTAAAATATCATAGATGGGGTGTATCCGACGTTTCTATTGCTGGTTCAATTGATTGGTAGCCTCGTGTCTGAAGTGCTCCACATGATACACAACATAAACAAGTAAATTTGCCTACAAGCGCATTTCGGTGCTGTTAGAAATCAATTTCCGACAAAATACTACTCAATAAACTCGAGGGTCAATCATTCTCTAACACTTTTCGTCGTAGATTAGGAGACAGGTAAATAAACAGACTACCTCTGGGTATGATCAGATTATTATTAATTGCCCATTTCAGTGAAATATCTATACACATCAAATATAAAAAATTGAAAGCATAATTACTAATCCACAGCAGAAAATAAAAGTGTAGCACCAATGGATGGCATAGGATTAGGAGGCCTTCAAAAACTTCAATAAAAGAGCATACGAGACCGCGACAATGCGTGTGTACGGAAATTCTCAGCTAGAAAGTATACAGTTTATTTCGCGATTTTTAAGGAAACAGTCAAGCACAATTTGTAAATAGATAAACAACAAATTTACAAATAAAAAAAGTTATGTGACGCTTATTTCTCGAAGATAAACTCAATTGAATAGGGAAAATTAAATGCGAAAAGTAAGAGATAAAAAGGATATTGAAAAGAAAGAATTAATTACAGACAATAAGGTAAAAGGGAATAAGGCCCTACTGGCGTTCATTCGATACGAAAATTCGTCTTCCTCAGTGGCTTCCATCGACGCGTACAATAATGCCAAAATGAAAGTTAAATCTGATTGGTCAAAAGCAAAAGTTAAAAGCTTTAAGTAACTCCAAAATAGTGATATAGTCTAAAATAGGTAGACCAACTTACAGTGAAAATTGGCATTAATTCATTAGCTTTTGCATTGAAAAATCCAATGAAATGGAAAAACAAATTGAACTCCAAACGATTCATGAGACCCAACAGAAGTTAACGATTTGCCAAAAAACTAAGTAAATTGAGATAAATAACGTCATTTCGAAAATTGAGTAAAAAATACACTGAAAACATTTAAATGCATAAAATGAAAAGAAAAACTACGCATTGATATTATACTTATGAACCCTTAGTGACAATTCCAGAGTGTTTATAAAAATGATGGATAAATATGCATTTCCGGGCAAGACAAGGAAAAGTATAAGTAAGATAAACGAAGCCAAACAGCTACTTTTCAAACCAAAACACAAAGTTCTGATTGTATACTATTCTAACGAGGATGAATTCTCATGAAACAGGCAACAAGTAAACAATCACATATTCATCGATTTTTGAAAATTTTTACTGATTTAACTATAACCAATCACAATTTAAAGAAATTTTAAAACGATACCTATCTATGTATAAATAAGACTTCAGGATTCAAAAGTTTTAGCAACTTCGTGAAAATATTTTCAAATGATTTTTCCAACGACCAAAAGGCCAAGCTGAATTTATAGCATTTCAAGGAAAAAGATGTCATTTATATTCATGTGCTTAAAATGCGGTACTGGCATGAAAATAAATTGAGTACTTTCAATTGGGCTGACTTAATTACTACCGCCTACAGATGAATAAATAACTGACTCAAATTGAAATGCGGTTAAAGGTGGTATATAGGCATATACAATGATTATATATTTCTCTTTAAAATGAGAGAAAGATAGATATGTGTAGATGAAAACATATTTTAGGGACACCGGGTTACCACTACGATTGCTTCAATCAAGGACTCGAGTCATATCATCATCAGGTATAAATTGAAGCAGGAACTGTGGAATAATCTCAACTCCGGCAGGTTAAGAAAACTATTGATCATAAATAGAAGATTAGCCCTCTTTTACTGTTTTAACAAAAAGTTATCAGGAAAGCTGGTTGTAAAGTAGGCGTTCAATCACAGACAACACATCGAACATGGCAATAATAAAGCACAACGTGCTGCCATTTTGAATTAAATTGGTGTTAAAAAGTAAAGGGGAGTAGAATCCCCC